ATGACAAATAAAAATAATGATAGTTTTCTAAATTAGCTATTCTTTTAATTAGCCATAGAATTAAATCCTAAGGCCACAATTAAAAGTGAGCATACTGCTGCAGATGAATACTAATGTATATATATAAAGTAACTTGGATATGATATATCTGCAGCTTAAATCTGAAAAGCAACGTTTGGATCTTATTGGCTGCCAAATCAGTAGAACTAACTTCTGATTAGTAGAAATGGCCTTTGATACGAGTTTTGGAGCCCTAGAATAGTGTACAAGATAGCAGCAGTTGAAAAAAGTGGGGAAATTGAGTTTTGGCATGCAAAGACGTGTTTTTTTACTAAGTTAATGCTATGCTCCATTACGATCCGTTATGGACATTACACATATGCTGTGTTATTAAAGGACCAAGGCTCACTAAGCCACTAGAGGTCCTTTGGAGCCTAGGCGCAAGGCGAGATGCCAGCTTGAGTGAAGCGAGGCGCACAATTGAAAAATTAATTAACTATTAAAGCACATTCATATTCCATATCAAAGGTGCATCTGGGCACACAACAGGCACAGGTGTTGCACTTGTATGAGCAGGAGCCTCAGCGCATGCCTAGGTGTGCCTTTTACCCACGATAAATAGGGTTAGTGATGGGATCTGCACCTTCGCAAGTGTGCGGGGGTGTGAGTTTCTTGCCGAGATGTTAAAAAAAAAAAAAAAAAAAAGGACTTGCAACATAATCAAAACACAAAAGACTTATTATATTTTTATTTAAAGCTTTTATTGAAAGTAAAGCAAACTCAAAACTCAAAAGACTTAGGATTTATTATTATTATTATTTAATTTTTTCTTAGGAAAAAAAAAAAAAAAAAGCAAACTCGAAAGCAACCTTAATATGGACTTTCTTCTTCCCCAACCATTTTCTAAGAATCACATCCAAGCCAGCCTTAGGTCTTTGGAGTCGAAGATGGTTGTCCACTTTCCATCCTGTGCCTGTTGTTGTTGATCCAATTCTTGAATATCTATGGTGTGATCCCAATATCCGCACAAAACATTCTTATCTCTTCCTCATCATGCTTCTGTGCTATCCAACCCAACTTGTCCGCAAACACCCTCATCCGCTCCTTCTGCTCCCGTGTCAGCCTCGTTCTCCCCTTCTTCTTCCTCATCCCCACCTCCTCCTCAATCTCCCCTTCGTCCAGCCCCTCTGCCTCCACCTCATCCGGTGGCGGATCATTGTATGGTGCAATGTGGGGTTGTGGTGGCGGTGCTGATAGTGGTGGCAGTGGTGTCACTGGCGGAGGAGGAAAAGTGACAGTGGTGAGGCAAGGAGATATAGATATATGTATATATAGAAAGAGAGAAAGAGTGAGAGATGCTTGTCTGGTACTTCTGGCAGCTCAACAAAACCGTGACCATAATTATATCCTGTGCAGTGACTGAGTCGCTGGAATTGCCATTAGAACATTAGGACAAAACTGTGGTCATGAGACCAAACACTTAGTCAGTCAGTAATTAGCCTTTTTTTGAGTGCCAAAACATGTGACAAAAAGATGGCAAAACCTATTTTTTTTTATAAGAAAAATAAAAAAAGCTTCCTATATATATATATATACATATATATATATATTGGTAGAAGAATAGCAAGCGTGTAATTAATAATTAGTTTTTAGCTCTATTTTATGGTCATTAAGTATCTGAGTTGTTGCCAGATTTACTATGATTTTATTAGATTTTCTTTTAATGGAATATAAATACAAATGGTTAAATTTAATAAGCTTGAACATGTATGTCCAAATTTGATTGGTTAGTTGAATATCAAATTGAAGATAAAGTTTATTTGACATTGGATATAATTATTCGCTACTACATTTGGAATGAATGATTGGAATTTTTTTTGGAAAAGGTAAGCTAGAGATCTCTCTAAGGAGCAAAACCATTGTTTTCCTCACATTAAATCTAATTGAATAGAAAAATAAAGAAGAAATGAAATGAGCATGGTGTAATTAATTTTGACTTTTCTTGAATAATTAAAAAAGAGAAGGATCTAGAAAATAGTTCATCTAGTCTCAGCGGCCCTGCTTGGGTCGGCAATGTCCATGATGGACCTCTTTGGGCCCTCCATGTATAGTCCACTACCCGACATATGCAGTCCTCTTATTCTACATGCATCAAGTAATAATAATAATTATTATTATTATTATTGTAGTGGTGCTAAGAAGATTTGAACTCTCAACCTTCAAGAACCATTTGAAGTTGATAGAAACTAATTGGAGGACCGAACCATCTTTGTGAATTGCAAGAGGACCCCCAAATATAAAGAAAAGAAAGTCTTAGCACCCAGCTGCTTTCTCAAATTACTTGTTGATTTAGTCCATTTCCTGTTTATCTGAAACTTGTCACTATCAAAGCCATTTCCTCTTAACCGAACTTTTTCCTCCACTTACCTGATGATACTTCAGTTATCTGCAATTAAGGAACATATTTGCAGGGAATAAAACCTTCACATCTTATCACCAATAGTTGTAATCTAATGACATCTCCTTAACTTTTTAAAGTTGAAGGAGAATGATAGTTCAAGAGGGACAAAGTTGGTGATGTATTATTTGCGAGGCTACAACATATTTTGGATGCACTTTGATTCTAAAACGAAGCCCACCTTAGCTTATCCTTGCAAACCTTAATTTTGTAAAATTCTTCTTGTTTTTTAATTTGAAATTTGATTTACATTTATCTTCTTATCATGTCTAAAAAAATTATTTAAGAAAATTAGTATTCACACCTGAAAAAACTATCAAACTTGGTTTTTTTTTTTCCTTTCAAAAAATAAAGATGATAATAATAAATAATAATAGCAAATTTGTTCAAATTATTCTCACACCCCACAACCACTGCGCAATAGCCTCTTAATACTTTACTATTAAATCCACAGATTGGCTAATGCTCATAGAAGAGGCAATCATATAGGGAGGATTCGAGTCGAGGGGGTCATTTTTTGTAAGGAGGAGGAGATTCGCAAAGGATTCTCAGAATTTTTTGAGAATTTGTTCAACGAGTCTGTTGAGTGGAGACCCTTGCTCGAAGGGTTGCAGTTTGACTCCATTTCTGAGGAGGAGTGTTTGGGCTTGGAGTTGCCTTTTTCTGAGGAGGAAGTTCTGTTTGCTTTGAAGAGTTGCAATGGGGATAAGGCCCCAGGTCCAAATGGTTTTACTATGAGATTTCTTCTTGAATGTTGGGAAGTGGTTAAAGGAGAGGTGATGGGCACTTTCCATGCTTTCCATTCTCGGGAATCTTTTGTGTGTGGTGGTGTTTATGGCTTGAAAGGAATAGGAGATTCTTTGAAGGAAAGGCTTTGTCGATTTCGGTGCTTAAATTCTCGATTATTTCTACTCTTTTTTGTTGGGTTTCAGGAAGAGATCATTGTTCTTTGGAGGAAGTAGTTGATTTTTTAGCCTCTTTGAAGGCTTGAGGCCTTTGTGGTCTTTTGTATTTGCATGGGTTTAGCTCCCCTTCTGAGCATTTTTTTATATAATTTTTACTTATCAAAAAAAAAAAATAATAATAAGTAAATAAATAAAGTGGAGTGTATTGTACCAATGTCTCTTTCTTTTCTTTTCTTTCTTTTTTTTTTTTTTTTTTTTTTGAAAAAAATATTACCTTAAGAAACTTAGGCTTGGTTTCCTGGTCCTCCTGGACTAGTGCATTGTATTTAGGACCATTAATTGTTTGAGGCCCAAGGTAGGATCCACACACAACGATGTAGTAGTTGTATCTACAAAGGACCTTCCTTGCACAGAGCGCGTGTGTGTTGAGAGATGGCCAGTACATTGTCATTGTCTGCGGCAGTGACAGAGGAGGAGGTGACGTTGACGGTGAAGTGGAGCGGCAGGGTGATGACACCGTCGAAGAATTGAAGTGACGAATATGTGAAGTTACAAATGTTCTGCCCAAATGCCAGAAACTTGTTTACGCCAAAGTTAGATCAAAACTTGCTGATGGCTCACTCCTCTCCCAACTCCCCCTCAAATCTTCTCCAAAAATCTTCAGATCAGTCCGATCTCTCTCTCTCTGTATGTATATATTTTTTTATATGCATACATATATGTGAGTACAACGTGTTTGATAAATTGGTTACTTCTATTTTCTCTCTTGTTTACTGCTTTTGTTCGATTGGGTGGTTATGTTACAGTTGTGGATGCTAGTATTCTTATTATTATTACTATTCTAATGATAAGAAGTTGGAACTAGGTGTTTGATAATTGCTAGTATTTGAATTAATTGTAGAATGAAACATAAAAAGTAAATAGTATAATTCTATTATGAATTTACTAATAATCAATAAAGGTACAAATATAATGGGCCTGTTTGTATCTTGCTTAGTATTAAAGCTTGGTTTGCCCTTATCTACTAGCCCTTTATAATATGGTGTTCTAAAGGAAAAACACATGCAATTTTAACTTACATAGTGGTATTATTATTATTTTTAATGAAAATTATTTAGTCATGTTTCTTTGTCAGTATTCTCATTCCAGCTTTCTCTCTTTTCAAGGTCTGCCTCTATATATACGTGTAAAAAGAAAAAATTGGTCATTAGTGTGTCATCTATAAAGCTGCTACACTAATTGAAATTGTTTGTATCAAAAGTAATTCATTGGTTGCTGACATGTGTCGTGTTGTCTGCTTTTAGAATTCCTTATTTTGAAGTTATATATATATATATATATATATATATATATATCTTAAATTTAAAAAGAATTTTCAGTACTATTGAAGGTGATATAATTGTGGACCAACTAGACTCTCCAGAGATCATTGATGATTTTGTACTTGGGCAAGCTGCAGCTGTTGACATTAAAGAAAAAAATGGACATTAGAGTGTCATCCATAAAGCTGCTACACTAATTGAAATAGTTTGTATCACAAATAATTCTTTGGTTGCTGATGTGTGACATGTTGCCTGCTTTTAGACTGCCTTATTTTGAAGATATATATATATCTTAAATTCAAAATGAATTTTCAGTACCGTTGAAGATGATATAATTGTGGACCAAGTGGACTCTCCAGAGATCATCGATGATTTTGAATTGGGGCAAGCTGAAGCTGTTGACATTAAAGATAAAGAGGTCAATAAGCAAAAATTGAGAAAAAGAATTGATCGATGCAAGGTCAGTTATGCCATTTTTTATATGAAAACATTGAAATGAATTGTCAGGATACAAAATTTAGACTTTCACATAATTGTATAAACTTCTTATGAAGGAATAGATCTTGGCCAGAATATGTCATTAGGTAACTTTTGTTCATAAGAAGCTTCCATGTTGTCACACATCTTATACTTCTGCTTTTGTTGTTTTGTGTCCGCACATGTGCGTCTCTCTCCCTCCCTGTGTGTGTTTTTTTTCCATGTAATTGTATAAACTTCTGATGAGGAGTAGTAGATCTTGGCCAGAGTTAGCCTTTCATTAACTTTTGTTCATGAGAAGCTTCCATGTTGTCAGTCATGCATCTTATACTTCTGTTGTGTTGTGTCTGCACATTCATCATCCTTTCTTTAATCCCATATGAATGGGGTTGGCCACAATTCTCTCTTTCCAATTTTTCCTATTGCATGTCATTTCCCCTACTATTTTAACTTTTTAAATAAAGTCATTTTTAATTACCTCATCCATGTTATTTTTAGACGCCCTCTCCTTCTCTTAACTTCTATTACAACCAGTCTTCCTCGCTTTACCGGAGCGTCGCTAAATCTCCAATGCATGTGTCTAAACCATCCTGCCCTGTATTTGTAGTAAAAGAATAAGAGTATCATCTGACCAATTGATACTATTCATTTATAATCTTGTACGTACTATATTATAATTGTGTGAGTAAAAAAGTTGAGTTTGGTTATTGTCGTCTACTTTATTAGGCATGACACTGGCCTGCTTATGTATGGATTGCACCACATGAATAAAAGTTACAAAAAATCTAGTCATTAAGTGCTTTTGTTGCATAATTTGCTGTCTAAGTGACTTTTCTGGAAGCTGAGGCAAAACAGAAGCGAACAGTTGGGAGCTCTCTCTCTCTCTCTCTAATAATCCCCATTATAAAAAATATATAAAGTTCAAATAATTTTAAAATTTTTTGTGATAACCTTTAAAAATTGTAGGAAGGAAATAGCTTCATGGTTCACCCATTATGAAGAAAAAAAAAATAGCTTCATGGTTATATTCCTTGGACAGGCATAACTGCTTTTCTGATATGTCTCTTTTTTTTCCTTTCTGGTATGTGCTTTTACCTCTCTAATAATCCACAGCATAAAAATTTCTTTGTTACTGTTGTCAAGGCTTTTAAACTCTTCCATTCAGCTTCCCTATTAATTATGATATAATGCTCGGATACAGACACGGAAAAAAAAGGAACATGGATGATAAAATACGGTGATAAAATAATAATATATTATATTATTATATATATAAAATGATCTTTACTCATTTTATCCACAAACCATGAATGAAATCACTAATTTGAAAAATCAGATGCGATCCTTTTAAAAAAATCTCAGTTACTTTATTATTTGTGTAAAGGACTCATAATATTATGAAAAAATAAATAAATTCAAAAGATAAAGAATAGGGACAAATAGCAAAATTTCATTTATATACGGAGTATATAGTTTCTTTCCATTTTTTTTTTAAATTTTTTTTTCTGTATGTGAGTGAACAAATTTGGCTTTCCATATGACTAATTTCTTTATAGTCATAAAATTATGTTGTCTTTGTATTGGCGCATAACATGTTTTAAAATTAAATTGGGAACTTCGTATTTTGAAAAGAACTATTCCAAAAAAATACCTCGCTGTGTCCCAATCGTGTCCTAGACATACCTCTCATGTGTCCACGTCATGTCCAACCAATGTCCTGGCATGTCCAACCAAAACAAGTTTTACACACAATGTCACGAGTGTCGGACACATATCCAGCCAATGGACATGGCACACCCTTCTGGAGTGTCCGTGCTTTAGAGATTATGATTAACACAAGGCAGTTCCTATATCCCCTAATTATCTGCTTGCTATGTATCAGTCCTTGATTCCTTTGATAGAGTGCCCTACCATGATTGTGACAGTCCTGCATGCATTTTGTAAACTGTAAAGTTAATAAACAACGTGATATTACTTTACTTATCAAAAAAAAAAAAAAAAAAACAAACGTGATATTACTTCAAGTGGAATTAACATATAAGCAAAAATTGAGACATTTATGTTAGTCTGGGTGTAATTCTCAGATTCCATGTGCATGATTTGGTGATTATTTTCCTTTTGTGGGGTGTCCAATTGTAGATTGAACTTCGGAATCCATGCCGTAATGGAAAGAAGCTGCTTGTTTTAGATATTGATTATACCCTATTTGATCACCGCTCCACAGCGGAGAACCCACTTGAACTTATGCGGCCTTGTAAGTATTTTGTTGTGGGAAATGTTAGATTTGTTTGTCTCCTTGTTCTGCCAACACTTAAATTACATATTATTTGGTGCAGATCTTCATGAGTTTCTCACAGCCGTTTATTCAGAATATGATATTATTATCTGGTCTGCAACCAGGTTTGATTTCATTTCTCTTTCAGAAAGTTCTAATAGTGAAGGTTTTCTTGTTATAATCTTAGAAATTAGCAGGGACACTTTCTCGTTTGTGTGGAACTCTATTCCTACAATGCATCTATTTTATTTGTGCAGCATGAAGTGGGTTGAATTGAAAATGGGAGAGCTTGGGGTACTCGACAATCCTAACTACAAAATTACAGCTCTCCTAGACCATTTAGCAATGATTACAGTTCAATCAGATTCTCGAGGAACCTTTGACTGCAAGCCTCTCGGCTTAATATGGGCTCAATTTCCGGAGGTTGAGTTATACTTTATCTTCCTATGTTTGCTTATTAATTTAGTCTGCTAAAGGGTTCTTTAGACAAAATGTGGAAGGTGAAGCATTTTATATATATATATATATATTATCTAACCTTTAAAGACACAAAGACTTGTTTAAGTAAAATATGTCATTACAAATAAAATGAAAATAAGGTCATCTTTGTAATGATAGTGAAAAGCTGAATCGTTTCGTCTTTCTAAACCCTAATGAGTTTACGCAACATCACCCTCTACCAATAGCTTTGAAATACAAAACATGACAATTTCGAATTCGACAATAAGGGCAAAATTGCAATTTTCTTTCGGCATTCAATTTCATTCCTCAACTGAGAACCTGCTCTCTCTTGATATGCTTGCAGTTCTATAATTCCAGAAACACTATAATGTTTGATGATCTACGGAGAAACTTTGTGATGAATCCACAGAATGGTTTGGCGATAAAGCCGTTCAAGCAGGCCCATTCAAATCGAGACAAGGATCAGGAGCTTGTGAAGCTCACCCACTACCTGCTTGCAATTGCTGAACTTGATGATATCAGCCACCTTGATCATAAGAACTGGGAATCATACAATGAGGACACTTTTAAGAGGCGCAGGCATGCATGAGTTTTCGTGGCAGTTCAGAAATTGTTAAGAGGTTGCTGCTTACGTAAACTTCTAAGATAATCATTGTATGTTATTGGTATAATTACAGTGCAGATCCATGGAATGGTAGCTTTTTTTTCGAGGCTCACAACAAACTCTGTAATATTCACAAAATCTTTTCAGATGTGTATGACAAATTTGTATTGAAAATTTGCATTACTCTATTTATTTGCAGCAGAATTTGAAGTCTTTTGTTGAAAATATAGATGTTTTTATCCCAAAGTTATCAATGGTGGATCCTTTGACAATTTTCTTTAGCCATATGTTATGTGTGGCTGCACCGAGAGACGCCCTGGATAACTTCTTCCAATTCCAAGTTCAAGGTGTCGATAACAATAATCATTACAGAGAAATTGTGTCATAAAATTAAGCATCACGGAGTATTAGAGAGAAAGGAAGAGGATAGAATAAATTTGAAATATATTTTGTGGGATTGACATTTAGAAGGAGTAACCACTCTTAACAAATACGAGAAGATGACCTATGAGAAATCAATCAATGCCATCACAGGAGTTATCATGTAATTGGCAGTTATTGTAATAAATATGTGTATATATATAGAAATATTTATTTGAGAGATGAACTCAACAGTTCAAAGAGAGAGAACGAAACAGAGAGAGAGAAACAAACTTTTTCAAGTCTGGTATATATAAAGTAGTACATGTACATTGCCTTATATAGGCTCAGATTTGGCTTCCCTTTTAAGCTATAGGAAAGCTTTCAGTGTAAGGAAAGAAGTGAACTTTCTCTATACGCCACCAAAAATGTCTTCCCAGGTAAGCTTTAAAATGTTATCATTTTTTAGGACTCCACACATTGATAGATATATACATAACACTCGCCCTTGGGGTTTACAAAACTACACTAAGAATATACCTTGTTAAAACCTTGCTAAGAAAAACCTAGTGGGACAAAACCTTAGCAAAGGGAAAAGAGTACAGTAATCTTGTGTATCTGAAATGGTATTGCATAGATTAAAACTGCCTCATTAAAACCTTGCCAGGAAAAACCAAGTGGAAGAAAACCTGGACGAAGGAAAAATAGTACAGCATGCCAATACCTCTTTGATCAATTGCTCCCCCTCATTAGTTTAACTCTGAAGATCCTTTAGTCGACGTATTCCAATATTGTACACCAGTTTCTTGAATGTTGTAGTTGGAAGCGTTTTAGTGAATAGATCTGCTAAATTTTCATATGAACATATCTTCTGAATATCAATATCACCCTTTTTCTGGAGTTCATGTGCAAAAAAGAATTTTGGTGAGATGTGTTTGGTCTTGTCACTTTTAATATACCCTTCTTTCATCTGTGCAATGCATGCCGCATTATCTTCATATAATACTGTTGGGCTTTTTTTCTTGATGAGAGACCACATGTTGTTCGAATATGTTGGATCATTGATTTTAACCAAATGCATTCCCCACTTGCCTCATGAATTGTAAGTATCTCAGAATGATTTGAAGAAGTTGCAATCATTGTTTGTTTCATAGATCGCCATGATATAGCAGTGCTGCCACAGGTAAACACATATCCTGTTTGTGAATAAACTTTATGTGGGTCAGAGAGATAGCCGGCATCTGCATATCCAACTAATTGAGAACTTGATGCTTTTGAATAAAACAATCCCATATCAGTTGTGCCACGAAGATATCGCAATATGTGTTTGATTCCATTCCAATGTCTGCAAGTTGGTGCAGAACTGTACCGTGCTAATAAATTGACTGGAAAAATTATATCAAGTCTTGTGCAATTTGCAAGATATAAAAGAGCACCAATTGCACTGAGATAGGGCACTTTAGGACCAATGAGTTCTTCATCATCCTCTCGAGGACGAAATTGATCTTTCTTGATGTGAAGTGATCGGACAACCATTGGAGAGCTCAATGGATAGGTTTTATCCATATGAAAACATTTCAGAATATTTTCTGTATATGTTGATTGATGGATGAGAATACTGCTCGAAAAATGTTCAATTTGCAGCCCAAGACAGAATTTTATCTTTCCGAGATCTTTCATTTCGAATTCTTTCTTTAAATAAGTGGTCGTCTTTTCGATCTTGTCCGATGTTCCCACAAGATTCAGATCATCAACATATACTGCAACAATAACAAAACCATATTCTGATTTGTTAATAAAAATGCATGGACAAATATGATTGTTTATATACCCTTCTTTGAGTAACTAATCGCTAAGGCGATTGTACCACATTCGTCCTGATTGCTTCAATCCATATAAGGATCGTTGTAATTTTATCGAGTACATATTACGTGGTTTTGTTTCAGGCATTTTAAATCCTTCTGAGATTTTCATATAAATATTACTATCTGGTGATCCATATAAATATGCTGTAACCACGTCCATTATATGCATATGCAATCTTTCTGTTACTGCCAAATGTATTATGAATCTAAATGTGGGTGCATCAATCACAGGGGAGTATGTTTCCTCATAATCAATACCAGGTCTCTGTGAGAAACCTTGAGTTACCAGTCGGGTTTTGTATCTTACGATTTCATTTTTCTCATTACGCTTTCGTACAAACATCCATTTGTACCCAACAGGATTAACACCCTCAGGTGTCTGGACTACTGGTCTAAATACTTCACGTTTAGCTAATGAATTTAGCTCTGCTTGTATCGCTTCTTTCCATTTTGGCCAATTATTTCTTTGTCGACATTCTTCTACGTTTTGAGGTTCCGGATCCTCATTATCAATATCAAGAGCAACGAGATATGAGAATATGTTGTCGACAACAATTTCATTTATATTCTATCTCGTTTCATAATTTAATGAGATCTCATCATTTTCAGATACTTGTGCCTCATCAAGGGCCATATCATCATTTGTTGTCTTTGCCTCATCAAAAGTTATTATTTCATCATTTTTAGGTACCTGAGACTCATCAAGAGCCTCTGTCTTATCAAAGGCTATTATCTCAGATTGATCAATAATATCTGTTGCTCATTTTGTGGCCTCTTCAGGAGTGCCAATTTTTCTTTGTGATTTCCTCTTACGAGGAACAATATCTTTTGCACTAACTGGTCTACCACGCTTCAGGCGTGTTTTAGATGCATTTGCTGCATTACTGACAGAAGGTCCCTCAGGGACAGCAATTCGTGTTAGAACATTTGCAGCTGGTATATGTAATTTTATCACTTTCTTTGTATCAGTAAATGCATCAGGTAATTGATTTGCAACATTTTGCAAGTGAATGATCCTCTGAACTTCTTGTTCATATTGATTTGTACGAGGATCAAAATGAGACAATTCCAGAGCATTCCAAGTAATATCACGTTACTGCTGTGCTTTTTCTCCCCCTAATGGTGGGAAAACAGTCTCATCAAAATGACAGTCAACAAATCATGCTTTAAAGATATCACTTGTCAGGGGTTCAAGATATCTCATAATAGATGGAGAATCAAAACCAACATAAATTCCAAGTCTACGTTGAGGACCCATTTTAGTGCATTGGGGCGGTGCAATTGGAACATATACAGCACAACTAAAAACTCGTATGTAAGAAATATTTGGTTGTTAACCAAAAACAAGTTGCAATGGTGAGTACTTATGATAAGCAGTTAGTCGTATACGAATTAATGATGCAGCATGTAATATGGCATGACCCCAGGCAGAACAGGTAATTTTGTTCGCATAAGCAAAGGACGACCAATTAATTGAAGTCTTTTAATAAAAGATTCAGCCATACCATTTTGAGTATGAGTGTGTGCAACAGGATGCTCAACATCAATTCCAACTGACATGCAATAATCAGCAAAAGGTTGAGAAGAAAATTCAGCGGCATTATTAAGACAGATTGTCTTAATTGGGTAATCAGGAAAATGTGCCCTTAATTTGATAATTTGAGTAAGAAGTCTAGCAAATGCAACATTATAAGTAGAAAGTAGACAATCATGTGACTATCGTGTTGAGGCATCAATTAAGACCATAAAATAACGAAATGGTCCATAGGTCGGATAAATTGGCCTACATATATCCCCGTGAATTCGTTGTAAAAATGGGGGACATTCAATAATGACTTTTGAAGGGGATGATCTGATAATCAACTTATCTTGTGAGTAGACGGTGCATAGATAATTATTTGGTAAGATGATTTTTTTGATCATTTAGTGGGTGTCCATGTGAATTTTCAATAATTCGACGCATCATTGTACTTCCTGGGTGACCAAGTCGATCATACCAAAGCATAATAAGTTTTGGGTCACAATATTTTTTATGTATTACAACATTGGACTCAATTGTCCTAATGGTTGTATAGTATAATCCAGAAGAGAAATCAGGGAGTCTTTCTAATATTTGCTTCTTGCATGAGGTAATGGAAGTAATGTAGAGATATTCCACATTTCTTTCATATGCGGTCTCAATATGATACCCATTATGACGCAAGTCTTTAAAACTCAACAGATTTCGTCGAGATTTTGTAGAATATAAGACATTATTGATTTGTAATCTTGTTCCATGTGGTAAAATGATGTTGGCTCGTTCGGAGTTTTCAATCAAGTTGGTGGGACCTGATATTATACTAACACTAGCGTCTGACAGAGTTAAGTGGGAAAAATATTTTTGATCTCGAAGGATTGTGTGTGTTGTTCCACTATCTGTAAGACATATGTCTTCACCATTTATTTTGGAACTAGATAGATCCAATCCTATTCATGCAAATTTCTTTATCAGAAAAGAAACTTTTATAACAAAAGAAACTTTAATACAAAGTAGAAAATAAAAACTTTAAGATAAGAAAAATAAAAACATAATAGACAGAACATGAAAAAAAAAAAAAAAGGATTAATTGGTGTGGACATTTCTATCACCAATCAGGAAGTCTATCTTTCCATCACGGTACTCAAAAAAATCTGATACATCTAGATTTGTGACGTTAACTGGCTCATTATGATCAATAAAATTCATTTCCAGATTTGTGATGTCAAGTGGCTCATCATGATCAAGGAAATTCATTTCCTTTTGTTTCCCCTTTTATTTCATTGAGGCTTGGTAAAGTTCAGCCAGATGTTTAGGTGTGCGACAAATACTTTGCCAATGCCCTGTCATGCCACACCGATAACAAGTATTATCATGTGCCTTGGGAGGTTGAGCCACATCCTTCCCTTTTACCTGTTTCATTTCATTATGATCTCTCATTTGGGGATATGGTGTGGATCTCTGATTGCGAAAATGTGAGGATTAATATCCTTCACGGTAATAAGAATGATTTCTACCACGACCATATTCATTATTGTGATAGTTATTTTTACCACGATCATATTCATTATTATAGCCATTTCTACCACCACGACCACGTCCACGTCCGCGTCCACGACCACGGGATGAGGCAACATATGTTTCAGGGATCGGTGTCGATCCAGTTGGACGAGACTGGTGGTTTCTTAATAAAAGCTCATTATTTTACTCTGCCACAAGCAAACATGATATCAGCTCTAAATATTTTTTAAATCTACGCTCTCGATATTGTTATTGCAAAAGTACATTCGAGACGTAAAATGTGGTGAATGTTTTTTCCAACAAAAGTTCATCAGTAATAGTATCACCACATAATTTTAATGTAGAGCTGATTTTGAATAGGGCAGAGTTATATTCAGTCACAATTTTAAAATCTTGCAACCTCAGTTGATGCCAATCAGCCCTGGCCTTTGGGAGGATAACTGTTTTTTGATGATCATATCTTTCTTTCAAATTTTTCCACAAACACAGTAGATCTCTTTCAGTGAGGTATTCAGTTTTTAACTCCTCACTAATATGGCGCCGCAGGAAAATCATGACATTCGCTTTATCTTGTAATGATGCATCATTCTTATCTTTGATTGTGTTTCCGAGGCCCATGGCATCTAAATGGATCTGAGCATCTAAAATCCAAGATAAATAATTTTTGTCAGATATGTCTAAGGCCACGAATTCCAGCTTTGTCAAATTTGACATTTTCAGAATAACTAGATGTGACAACAAGATAAAAATATAATTTAGCATAGTATATAAATAAATCAAATAGCGTTAAGTGAAACAATAATATAATATGAATTATTTAAATAACAAAGGTGTAAAAACCTGAATAAATTATTAAATAATAAAAGTAGTAAAATTGATCATAAATCATTAAATAATAAAGGTAATAGAACCGATTATAGTTTGAGCACATATCTCATTTAAGTGCACAAATTTAGTTTTTGAGCAATAATCCATAATTAAAATTTTCTTACCCTTTGGAGTCAGAAATACTATTTTCTTTGATAAAGCAAACCAACCCAACAATCTATCAAAACTAATATCACAAAATAGATATATAGTTGAGATAGAAAGGGGGAGAGAAAACTTCTTCTTCAAATCTCAGATGGATTGAACTCGTGCTGACAATGTGTAATAAATATATGTGTATATGTATATTGTAATAAATATATGTGTACATATATAGAAATATTTATTTGAGAGATGAAACAGAGAGAAAGAAAATGAAACAGAGAGAGAGACAAACTTTTTCAAGTCTTTTATATATAAAGTAGTACATGTATGTTGCCTTATATAGGCTCGGATTTGGCTTCCCTTGTAAGCCATAGGAAAGCTTTCAGTGTAAGGAAAGAAGTGAGCTTCCTCTATGCGCCACCAAAAATGTCTTCCCAGGTAAGCTTCAAAATATTATCATTTTTGAGGACTCCACACATTGATGGATATATACATAACCGTTATCATGTAATTGGCATTAAAGTCTTAATTATTAGTATTATTTTTTAAAAAGGCAATTTATCAGTTGGAATATAACTCAAAAGCCATTTTTCTCCAACTAATCATTTGATGGATTTAATTTAGTACATAGAGTTGACCTCAAAACAACTAAGATTAACTAAATGTTAAACAAGCTTTAATAAAATTCAATCTTGGTTGTTACTATAAACTTGTAAACAACTTTTTTCGGGTGGTTAATCTTATGGATCAAAACAAAAATAGAATATTATGGATTTAACTAAAATGAGAATATACGGAAAAGACTGCGCCAAAAATAAATAATTAAATAAATAAGCACAATTGAGAAGACCAAAACATTAATTAAAGTATTTTTTTTTTTGGAGTAAGTAACATTAATTAAAGTTAAACCGCATCAAGCAAACGGAAACCAAAAGGCCATGGAATTAAATGCGAGAATTTAATATCCAACACCTGAATAAATCCCCCTAACGACGCATTCTAAGCACCTAAATATGGCAAAAAATAAGCATTTACGACCCAACCCATTAATTGTTATTGACTAACGACTAGTATTTTGTTCTTCGTTGTAGAGAGAGAAAGCGTGTTCTAGAGAGAGAAAGACACATGGGATGAAACGAGACAGCAGTAAAAAGCATGCATTTACAAGGAGTGAAACAGAGCATCTGTTATGCACTATCCAAACGTGACATTAAAGAGAATTGGCCAGCTGATGACTAATTGGATTTCAACCCAATTGTGTTTATTGATCAAAGATCAATGGGTTTGGTCCTGATTTTGTTCTTCTTCTTCTCTCTCCTCAGTTTTATCTCACCAACTTGTAAGTACCCTTCTGTCAAATTTGTCTGTCTTAGCTGTTACGAACTCTTATTTTAATCTAGTCGTATTAAATTCTTTTCAGAGTATTAATGGTGATTAATTTTGATTGTTGATCCAGATGGGTATGATCCATTAGATCCTAATGGGAACATCACTATCAAATGGGATGTCATGCAAGATAATTCTGGTTCACAAGATGTAAGTTCTATGTGCATATCCATCTATAGACACACACATATACGCGGGTTTGTGTGTGTGTATATATCAACCGCCCACGTTAGCATTTTGAGGTTAAAAATGTTGGTTAATGATCGAAGCGTTAAGGAATGTGACCGATCATATCATATTAAAAGGGAACAGTGCTGTTGATTTTCTGTAGGGAGAAGGGTATTTTGGGCAACTGAAAATACTGGGTGGTCCCACTTGTTTCTCGTTCTAAGGATGATGGACTGGAAGAAGATTTTGTACCATGTGTCTCATATCACGTGGACTCTATCCACTCCCACTTTCGTCCTTTTGGTTCATTTTAATGTTTTCGTTTCATTTTTGACCATTCATGGATACATATTCAATGGGTCCAAATTTGTCCCAAGATGGCATTACGGTAGCTTAATTGATACATATTCAATAGGGACGTCTGCGTGTTTGAATCTTTCTTCCTCTTAGTTTGTCCGAATAAAAAAATAAATAAAAATGCCCATAGTCGAGGTCAATTTCAGTATGCACCTAATGTACTCTACACTAATTTTCAGTTGGGACAAGAAAAATGATTGCCATTGATGTGTACAATGAACCAAAGATTTGGTAAGCGCTCACTAATCTGATCTTAGAAGATTTTGTACATTGTAGAAGTTAACCCCAGATGTGTGGCTTCTTTTGATCTAACACATGATTAGATTTTTTTTTTTTTTGGTTAAAAATCAACCTCATGTGTGGCTTCTTTTGATCTGACATGTGATTCATTTTTTAATTATTTAGATGATAGTGAAATTTAAACTTGAGACCTTGACTGATGCCATATTAAATTTTGAATACTGTTTACTCAAAATGTTTAAACTATTAAAAATAGTGTAACTTTAATATTTACGGTTCTTAACACTACTCTAGTCTAATTGCCAATTCATGGTTACTTTAACTTCTATGTGTGTTTTAGCTACTTTGTTGACTACTTTTGGTGCCATGGTGAGAATTCCCCCAACAATGTTGTACTAAGAAGAATGTCTAGTGTGACACCCATATATACATTTTGATTTGTAGAATAACTCATATTATTAAGGGCATTCCAATTTTGACCTCTAAATTTTGGGAGTTTGTGATAGATATAAACATATTCTTGTATCCTGATTCATTTTCTGAAAATGTGAAAATGAGCGAGAAGATCCAAGGTTATGTAACCTAGTGGCATCTCCTTTACCTTCTAAAGTGAAAGGTGAGGGTTCAAGTCTTCGAAAAAGCAAGCGGGTGTGTGAATTTCTCGCCAATAAAAAAAAAAAAAAAAACAATTGAAGAAAATGAGCTAGAGGAAACGTCAATGACTTGTCTTAGATAAATGTAAACGAATAGAAGTGACAAATTTTTTTTTTTTTTTTTTCTTTCTATTGGAGCATGGTGGTTTAATGGGGCAGTAAGTTAGTAATCATTCTTTGTATAGAGAGAAAATTGTACTTTTGGAAATGGTTTGATGTGAAACTTTGTTAGTAGTGCTGATCCAAATGACTGCTCGTGTGTTTGAAGTTACAGCCTGGTATAAGAAGCATGAAGAAAATAATTGATTCTCTTTGTAATAGAAATTTATTTGTTGTCAAATTTGAAATGTTTGAATTTGGTGTTTTTCAATTATTTATTCAATTGCCAATCCAGTAGGATAAATAGTGTGTATGTGGTTCTTAGGAGTTTTTGACTGATTTTGAAGAGTCCTTTAAGGGAGATGGAAATGGTAGACATTGAGGAAACTGAAATAAAGAGCTTGCCATGGAAACTGTGATGTGATTGAAGAAAACGTTCGAAGGTAAACGGAATAATTTATAGAAATAAAGTAAAGAGAAACCTAATCAGGCATTACATGGTGTCTTTGAAAGAGTAGGTTTTTTTGAGAAGACAGTAGGCATTACCAAAATTTGAGCAACCTAGATGAGTGAGAATGTATCTAGATGTATCGTAACGTTTCAAAGAAAATCTGTGAAGTGTATTGCTGCCTGCCTGATAGACCTTTTTTAATACAGAGCAGAGCAGGTAAATGGATGGAGTTTTACCAATTAAGTAACACCTTAAACTGGAATGAACTTAAGAAACTGAATGATATGGACTAGGTAGGTGTTAAATGCTGCAAACTCATGCTAAAGGCAATTTGACTTCAAAAAAAACACGAGAAGCTTTTTTTATTTTATTTGGAAAGTGTTCTTTTCTTTTCTTTCGTTTTCGTGAAACCATCCTTTAGTTTTGGGAAAGTTCAAATTAGTGATTGACATTACATTAATACTTCCTCACCATATATATCAACCCATTTGGATTTTCTTTCACACACACACACACACACAACTTCTAGTCTTTATCACACACACTTGCATATGAACTACTACCTTAAACCAATGCAAAAAAAAAAAAATTACTTCTAGTCTTTATCACATCACATTTGAAATGCTAATCTTACAGTTCAATTCAACAATCAAGCCATTTTTTTTTTCATTGTTTGCAGTTGAGAGTGTGGATTTTCAATTACCAGCTGTTCCGGCACGTGGAGCAGCCTGGTTGGAAGCTAAGTTGGACATGGCCAGGTGATGAGGTGATTTTGGGCATGTGGGGAGCTGAGGCTACTGAGCAAGGCAATTGCTCGGCATTTAGGGGAGGACAACTTCCTCATTGTTGTGAGAAGGAACCGGTAATCATTGACCTTTTGCCTGGTGCCCCATACAATAAGCAGTTTTCCAACTGCTGCAAGGGAGGGATTCTATCGTCAATGACACAAGATCCCAGTAAGTATGTAGCTGCTTTTCAGATGAACATTGGCGGTTCTTCCACCGACACTGCAGACAGTTCAACGCTAGGAATACCTGGAAACTTTACACTTGGTCTTCCCGGTTATACATGTGGAGATCCAGTTGAAGTCCCTCCAAGCAAGTTTATCGAGGACCATGGCCGTCGACAAACACAAGCTCTTGGTAAGTCTAGTATTAGCTTTTAAGTATATGTCTTGCTCTGTATTAATTCAAAGTTCCTTGTAACATAATGAAGATGTAGGAAGAAATATTATGAAGTACCAGATTTTTCAAAATAGATACATTCAAGGTGAAGTAATCTTACATTGAAATGGTCTAGATAACTGCAAGCATCGTCTGCAGGAGCATTAATTCTTTCTTTCTCCTGAAATTTCATATCTGTCAAACATATATAATATAGTATTGATTGAAAATAGCTACCTTAATCTTTTGAAAATAGTTGAAAAAGTTCAATTTAAATATGTAATGCTGTTAATTCTTTCATCTTTTCTTATACTGTGTGTGGTGTGTGGACTTATTGCAGCGACATTTAACGTGACTTGCTGTTACTCCCAATTTCGAGCAACACCAGCCCCAACGTGCTGTGTTTCTTTGTCTGCATTCTACAACGATACCATTATTCCATGCCCACGTTGCAGCTGTGGCTGCCAAGGACAACCTGGAGCAAAATGTGTAAAGTAAAGTCTCCTTACATATATTATATCTTCTGAATTATATTAACAATTGTAGGTGTCGTATATTTCTACCTAACGTGGTACGTTGAAAAGTCAAAATACTTGGATTAATAGGATCACGTGACGTGGTGAAAAGTCAAAATACTCACCCTTGAGTCACCGACTCACCAAACCCTAACATCGCTCCTAGGTCATCAAACCTCGAGGGATTTGCCCTTGAGTCATCAAACCTTAGCATTGCACCCAGGTCATCAAATCTCGAGGGCCTTACCCACGAGTCACCAAACCCTGGCATCGCGCCCAGGTCATCAAACCGTGAGGGCCTTGCCCACGAGTCACCAAACCCTGGCATCGCACCGAAGTCATCAACCTTGAGAGCCTTGCCCTCGAGTCACCAAATCCTAGTATTGCGCCAGGTCATCAAGTCTCGAGGAGCTAAGTCTTGAAGCGTTGTCAAACCCTCGCCTCAAGTAGAATATGAAATGAAGGTTGGGCCTTCTCGGATACTTGGCGTTTCACCTTTTGTGATACTTTAAAGGACCTTGGATTGGTGGATGAGAAGTTATAAGATGTTTCGCAAGTACAGAGAAGCCTGATCAATGAGACGATGGATATGTGCTTTGACAGAGAACCTTAACGTTACATTTAATGTTCTGACATTACCATTATTAATCTGGCTACCGCCAGTCAAATAATGACAAAATGCATTTAATGTTCAGGATAAGAGAGACTTGATATATCGCATGGCTTGCTGAAAGGAAGTGACCTCTTAGGTGTTTAGGGCCATCATACCTACCAATGTAGGTATGAAGCCAAGGATGAGACATGTGATAAACCATTGGATAATATCTAGAGGGCTCTTAGCCTATAAATACCACTCTCACAGGAAGCAGTAATGTAGGACAAGCTGAGAGTTTGCCACGATTACAACATAATCTCTCTACCATTATCAATACTCATTGTTCAGTCTACTTCTCTTCCTCCATCCAGTTAATTCTTTGTATCCTTCATATTGTGTTTAAATATCACCATTATATATGTACTTTCTTGTATTACGAAAAAGAACCCCTACAACAATTTACTTGAAAACAACTTCACTTAGAACTGGGTTTCCAAAGCATGTTTCATCTTCCTCTGGCATCTTTTTTGTTCTAGTAATTTCTGAATGGTTTGCTCAGAAATTGGGTACGTACTTACATTTTGTAGCATTATCTATTTTCTATGGTTGTTCATGTTTAAATGACCATAAAAATCATGTGACTGATCATTAGAAATTGTTTTGATGATTATTTTTTTCTTTTCTACACCTTAAATTTAATCCTTTTTTTTTTTTTTCCTTTTAAAATATATATATATATATATATATATATATATATATATATATATATATATATATTGAAATTGCAGGCCTGGTGAATTACCGCCGGTGTTGCAGCTGCAACCTAATGGAGTAGCACAGCCGGTAGTGCAGTGTTCGCAGCACATGTGCCCGATAAAGGTGCACTGGCATGTGAAAGTAAGTTATAAACAGTATTGGCGGGTCAAGATCACCATCACGAATCTAAATTCTGTGAAGAACTACAGTGAGTGGAACTTGGTGGTGTTACACCCGAACATGAGAAGTGTGACACAAGTTTTCAGCTTCAACTATAAGCCCCTTGATCAGTATGGCAAAATTAGTAAGTAGATCCATACTCGTCATATACTATTCATAACTCGGTGGTTGATTATGAGGGGTACTCTAAGAGGCCCGACACTCCTTTATCTCAGAAAAAAAGGGTTATCTCAGAAAAAAAGGGTTAAGGTTTGGCAAGAAAATTCCATTTTTCTTGTTCATCTCCAATCTAATTCTCTTTTGCAGATGATACTGGGATGTTTTATGGGATTCAATTCTACAATGATATGCTACTCCAATCAGGCAGAATTGGAAACGTACAAAGTGAGATGTTATTAAGCAAAGACCCTGGGATTTTTACTTTCAGGGAAGGATGGGTTTTCCCGAGAAAAATTTCCTTCAATGGCGACGAATGTGTCATGCCCCCTCCAGATGAGTACCCTAGGCTCCCAAACAATGGTCATGCTGGTGCAATGCCAATGCCCTGCATAATTTCTCTCTCATTGTTGTTACTCACAACAATGTTCTGAAAAAGACTTATTTTTATTGTTTTGCCTGCAATAGTTGCAAAAGTTTTGCCCTAGATCATGAAGAAGATACATATAGTCAAGTTTAATGGTTCAGCATGTGTATGAAAAATCCATGTCTATCTATACATGGAACATGAAATTGCCATTTGCAAATCAATGTAAAACAAGGAAAACAAGGGCCTGTTTGGTTCAGCTATAACATCTCAAATGAAGAACACAGCATCCACAATATTTATTTATCATTTCCTCAATGGTTTGGATGAATACCCAAAAAATTAAAAAAATAAAATGGTGTTTCGATCTACCATGCCACTTTGTACCAAAAAAGAGAGGGAAGACAAAAGCAATTAAGAAAAAAAAATTAAAATAAGGCCATTCGCCATAACCGCAATAGATCTGCCTTGACAGAGAAGACCAATAAAATGATAAGTTAATGTTGTAAGCATAGCTTTTTATTACACATTCTACAACAAAAATTCATCAGCATGCATCAGATGTAACACCAATTCCGAGCACTATATTGGATTTCAGAAGGTTAGGTTTTGGGATGGGAAAAGAAAAGATAAAGGGGAAATTTATGAATTTGGATCGCTGGAACTTACAGGTGAGACAACATCGATTATGTTTACAAATTCCACCTCCGGTGAATCATCTGCCAGAAATGCCATTTCTTGGATGACTACCAGGTGCACATGAATATGCTAAATTAACATAAAAAGGAAATGGGCTAATGCAAACTAGACAACAAAAGGAAAAACAAGCAAAGAAGGCGGAATCAAGACAGGAAGCACTTGGCTTATGCCGCACCATGGAAGCCGCAATTTCTCACTGGCACGGCAATATCAAACTAGGCAAAGTCAGGGTGAGGACAACTCTAGCTGCATCATATATTCATGTGGACCGGGCCGGAAACAGAGTCACGACCAGAACTGGCATCCTTGTGTTTCAGAGAAAGGTTTGCAAATTGTGAATCAAGTTCTCTACTGTTAGTGCGTCGATGGTTAGAAGGGTGCTGTTGCTGTTGCTGTTGTTGATGTTGCTGACACAAGGTTCGTAGCCTTCCAATCTCTCTCTCAAGCATTTCATGCTCCACTGCACATAGTCTTGACTGTTTTAGTTTATGAATGAAAATGCGGTAAAGATTTCATACTGTTCTGCAATTTAGCAGCTCAAAAATCTCCATCCACTATATACCTTAACCTATTATTCTTTCGTTTAATTTCAATTTATACAGAGTTTATATATTGTTTACAGAACTGAAATTTACCATGAAAATGTCATAGAAATCCAATATATCATATGCAATAAACACCAATATTCAAAGAGGTATCTAACAGCCGTTCCTAACCCAAATATATAAATACATACATAAACACATGGTGCGAGTTTTATAATGAATAAATATAAATAAAAATAATAAATCATGAGATTGTAATTATTTAACTAAATGAGCTACTATTTTAAATACTCTTTGAATACTTCATAATTTTGAGACGTAACAATTTTTGAGGTATTATCAACCCAAAGCCAACCAGAACTTTGCCACCTGAGCTTAACCACTGTTCAGAGATTTGAGTGTGGGTTGGACTCAGCTGGAAAACTCGGGTTGAAGGTCTAATTGTATTAGGCTTTGGTTGAAGCCTTGAAGGTTTTACACTTTATGCTTAGCTTAGGCTAACCACTAAACCCTCTTAAGTTACACGGTTACACCCTTAACAGGAAATCATTTCTCCAGAATCAGTTAACTGCAATGAAATTCATATCCAAGCTGAAAACAAACCTGCAGCTTTGTTCGGTTAAATATTACAGGCACATATCAATCACCAAGTTGCTTCTATCTGTAACCTAATTCAATGCCAACACTTGCTGTGATCAGAGAATGATACTTTTGTTTCATTTTTCTAACAAAGCAAATAAGACTGTATATAATAGTATTAAGATGGCTAGAATCGAGAGTCAGCTCAGGGTCCTGTTACTACATTGAGTTTATCAGGATCTCACAAGGTTTCAACCATTCTAGGAGCCTAGGACTTTTTGGTACAATTCAGGATCATAAAATCATAGGATCTGGATTAGTAGGGGTAGAACTAAATTGGGCCCAAGGGGGCTACTACTGTACTACCCTCTCTCTCCCCAAAAATATAAAAAACATACATAACATATGTTTTTTTGCAGAATCCAATAAAATGGGTCCCCCCAAAATTGGCCCATATGACTATTATTATTAAGCGTTAAAAATATTTTAGATGGCCCCCCAAAGCCGATAAAGATTGTCCTCAATGCATAATATCAAAGGTTCAAAACCCTCTTCACATGTATATACACAGCCTCTCTTATTCACCCACGGTCACAATCAACAAGCAGCATTTCTGACTAAATATATGGCAAAATTAATCTTTTTGTTCATTTTATTCATATATACGTTATTGCTTAAATAAATGGCAAAATTAATCTTTTTTTTCATTTTATTCATATATACGTTATTGCTTAAATGTATTCATTTATGCACTTAATGGGTCATGAGATAATCTTATCTTATACCTTCTATTTTTTTTATAACTCTTAAAGATGAATATATTTTTTAGATTACATTTTTTAAAGTTTTTACTTCCATACCAGTAGTTCCTGGTTCACCCCTGGAACGGGTTTTCAACAACCATGAGTGTGATAACTTCGTCCTCTACCTTAATTCTTACATAATTCTTTTCTTTGTTTCTACAATTTCTGTTATCCTATTTCACAATTCCATGCAACATATTTTCTCAACTAATCATTCATAGCACCGTTTGCCTTAAAAGTCAGAACCTGATTCCAGAAAAGGAAAAAAAAAGCCACATCAGAGGTTCAAGGAGTAGTCTTATATGTAAAGGAAAAAATATTTAGTGTTTTCAAATGGAAATGCTGAGAGACTTCAGGAAACATTTCCCTATCCTTCCAGAATCTTTAAGCAGAGACTCTTGAAGATGCCTGCTAGCTCGTTTACTTCTTCCTGTTCATTCCAACACACTTCCTCTTCAATTTCCACTTAGGTTTCCCATGTATATATTACCATATTTCTTAGGCCACATTTTTGCTTACCACATTTAATAGCATATCCTCTTTCTACTTTAAATTGTCCTAATGCATCAATGTGTCTATTCAAATACTACCGAAAGAACACGAACTGATTTCAGATTATAGAAACCACTTTGGGGTTCCAAGCAACAGAAGAAGCAGGTATACTACACATCAAAATTCAACTACCGAGGACAGAAACTTACAGCACTTAATAAGTTGCTCCTGGGACAAACTTTCTAAACGTTGCTTTAGGGCTTTGTTCTCCATGCTCAGAATAAGGCTCTGCTGGTTGAGAAATTCAAGCTCAGCAGAAACTTCAGAACCTTCTGCCTGTAATAATAATAAGAGTTACATCAGCACTTTGTAGCAAAATACAGTGTGATCTTTATCTCAAGGAATCAAGCTCAAAAGTTCTTTTAGATTCTGTTAATACTTGCCTGTAAAGCTTGTACGTGCCTCTCCAGCTCAGCTATGTACTGAAGTTTCCGAACTCGTGAACGTTGAGCAAACTGCCTGAACCAGATAGTCAATAGAGTTCCTTTAGTTTACAACATCTCCAACTTTGAAGTAACCAAGTAAAAGCAAAGGATAGTCACTTTAAAGCTAGAGGCAAGTTTCCATGTCTTCTCATTAAATTGGTTACAGTTTATATAATCCAAGTAAAAATATGGTCGTCATGCAAAGAACAAGATAAATGGAGATGATCCAACTGATGATACCAAAACTTACATATGAATATAGTTAGATGATGGGTGTTTCAATAAAAATTACTAATTAAAACATTGCCGCAAAAAAATTGGATTACAACTGAAAATTGTTGAGAAGCAAAATAGCCAGTTGCAATATTCCCAAGTTTTTCTAAAAAATCACTTTCAGTTTTTTAACTCCTTAGGCTCTTTGAATTATGATGGTGAAAAAACTGTTTAGAGGACTAGGTTCTATGTGGATTGTTTTGAAGAGAACAGGAGAGAAAGAAACAATGCAGAAGATCTGCTCTATATATAAGAACACCAATGTTAAACCAATTGTAAATTTAAGTATTCCAGGAGTGCAGCAAGAATATCCAGCTAATAAATTTCCAAAATGGAATTCCACACTTATGGGCACTCAACTCAAAAATACCTATTGAAGTGTGAATGCAAACAACACATTCTAAATGGACTATTCCCTAAGTACTAACAGGTCCTTGACAATAGAAAATAGGAAAAAGAGCAAGAGTTTTTTTTTTTTTTTTTTTCCCCCTGAAAAGAATGGCAGGACAGTTGAAACTTGAAACCCCTCTTGCATGTGAAGTGAACATGGCCAAAATACTCATTATAGTCCACATTTCCCACTCAAGTTATCACAACAGAACCACATTCCAAAGCAAACAGAATTATAATGAACCATAAAAAGTACAGCATTTTCCCTTTGGCTAGAAAATCTATTGAAGAAATCACCAGCTTCAACAGAACCTCTGTTTAACCTCATTCAAATGGTTCTCTTAAAATATAAGTCATCTGCAATCCATATCTGGCTGCAGCCTTTTTTTCATCACGTGAAAAGCGAGGCTTTGAACTTCCAAAAATTGAGTATACTCTACTTCAATTTGATGCAATCTTAACAAGAAAGCAGAAAAAAATAGATGTCTTTCTTTTAGTCTTTAGATATTTCCTTACCATGTTTGGTGTGGTCTGGGTCGTGCTGCACTTGGTTGTGAATATGCTCAGTTGCTGGCCAGGGGTTAACGTTGGGCCTTGTGAGAGTCAGGCAACATTAAGAAGCAGTGACTCTATTCCTTGTGCTGTAAGTTCGGAAAGAAAGGGTGTGCATCTTTGAGGAGGTTGAGTTGCCATTTACCAGGCTGAAAATTATGTTCTTATGTAGTTGACAGTTTTTGGATTTCAATGATGTTCCCTTACATTATTTTTATTGACTTTATAGGTAAATTTGAGTTTTGTGATTGAAGCTTACTTTTGTTCAACTCCCAAGTTGTTTGTGTGAATACAAGTTGTACTGAGTACCGACTACGGCACGTTTTAGTGGTTTGCCTCCAGCATGGGAAGGCAGGCATCCCTTGTGTTAGAACTAGCAGCACACCAAAACACGGTTTTGGTATAAACAGATAAAGTAAATATGGCTTAATCTACATATTATGTCAAAGCAGAAGAATGGCAATAACAATAAAACAGCAGCAGAGAGTCAATATTACGGCCAAAAATAATTGTAATACCAAATATGAAAAAGTCAGCTAAGAATCTCAGATACTAAAGATAAATAAAAAGACATACTGCTTAGCACGTTTCGAATCTGTTTCTGATGCAGAAGACTTAGCAGGAGAACTATCCTTTCTTTCAGTAGCAGCTTTTGGATCACGTGGACCAGATTCAACTGGATCCTGCTTTCCAGAAACTGTAGATGTAACCCCATCAATTTCTTGTGGAGCACAAGATGATCCTGAGCTTTGAAGAATAACTTTATCACTAGCAGAAGAAATGCCATTTAAATGTGTCGTTGAATTCAAAGATGAACCCCATGCCCGATTCTTCTGTTTTCCCCTAGCATTTGGCTCCGCGTAGAAAGAAGCATGCCATGCATCTCTATAATGATCAAAGTCCGGCAATCCCCATGAAGGAACTGAAGGTATATTTTTAAATTTACACTCATCCTGGGCTACATAATCTATGATAGAGGCATTAGATGCATCTGAATATGGAAAAGAGTCACTTGATGAACGCCGATGACCTCTACGTACAGGTGTTTCTGGCTCATTAAGGAGTTCATCCAGCCAAGAAGGTTGTTCCTCCATCAGAAGGCTCTCAGAAGAAGTACGTTGGTGGTGTGAATTTCTCTCTCTAGGCTTTGCAATACCTTTTGCTCCAATAGCAGGGCTTGGAATATAATCAACATATGGTGGAGAAATACTAGGAAAAGGACTTTTAGGAGGAAGTAAAGGGTGCTTTCCATTGTAAATCATATTTCGGACGTTTGACGACACTTTGGTGTTTGCCATAGCTGAAACACAACCAATCACTGTCAAAGAGAAAGTATAAAATGATCTAATATTAAGGGGGGAGGGGGGGAAGGTAACAGCAAAGAGATAATTTTAAAAGAAAAAATAAAAAAAGTTAAAAGGAAAAACTCCAACTACAAGTACATAAAGTAACAATTATTAACTCAACGAGTTAATAAAAAATAAAAAATAAAAAAATCAATATTTGTTGCATTGGTAAAAGCTCGAGAACTGTGAGATGTAGGTTTGAGTCTAAGAGCAGCACTTTGTGAATAAATAATCTCAAATGCTATGAAACACAAATACTGTTACAAGGAAGGCTCATTCTCATATTTTTGTGGATATGTGTCCACTGTCCAGTACTTCCTTAAACATATAAAAATTTAAAAATTATGACCCTTATTTCGAACACACATCTAATACTCTAAGACTCATGTCAATACATCTTAAACAATTAAATGCAGTAAATCTAACTAGTATACTATAATAGTACTTTCTTAAAAAGGAAGAACTAAAATATATTTTGTATACATCATGTCTACTCAAGTCTCAATTACATAATTCTCATGGTGTTTCTTATGGTAAACAGATTTATTTACCGAAAAAAAAAAAAAAAAAAAATTTACATAATTCTCAACTTTTCATGTGATTTTTAATATGATAAACTACAAATACTGAATAATTGATATATTCATAGAGATACCTAATTCTCAAAAAAAAATATCTATAAGGAAAAGTTAGTCATACTGTATGTATATAACATGACAAACAATAGCTATCTTCAACTTATGCATATATACACACATTTTAATTTTCATGCAAATGTAATATACATAAAATATATGCATATTTTTATACCCACATGTCGTTGCCTTATATTCTATTTTCTAATAATTTTATACATCGTCATGTCTGTCTGTGCCGTATCCATATCCTGTATTCATATCATAATTCTCAACTTTTCATGTGATTTTTAATATGATAAACTACAAATACTGAATAATTGATATATTCATAGAGATACCTAATTCTCAAAAAAAAATATCTATAAGGAAAAGTTAGTCATACTATATGTATATAACATGACAAACAATAGCTATCTTCAACTTATGCATATATACACACATTTTAATTTTCATGCAAATGTAATATACATAAAATATATGCATATTTTTATACCCACATGTCATTGCCTTATATTCTATTTTCTAATAATTTTATACATCGTCATGTCTGTCTGTGCCGTATCCATATCCTGTATTCATATCATACTTCATAAGCCAAAGGTTAGGGTTGTCAAGTAAAGGCATTCCTACCACTCATTCACTCAGCATACCACACAAGGTAACGGTATTTAAAATAGGCAACATCAATATAGTAGCATGAATCCTGAAGAAAATTATGCTACTATTATCCAGTAAAGGGAGACCAATGGACGAAAATTTTGAGTTCAATAACTATTTCATTACAAAATTGTCAGACGTACCCCCAAAAAAGGAAAAGAAAATATAACACACCTATACATACATACATACATACATACATAGAGAGAGAGAGATTTGCAAGAAACGAGAGTTCAATATTAGACCTTTTTGCTCTCAAAATCACGGGGAAGCTTGCCAGTAACATCAAATCTATAGGAATAATAGCCACTTATCACAGCTGAAGCTTTGTTTCTAGAGAGATGTATTCATAAAGAGACAGACTTGATTCCAGATTTGTGAAAACTGGGAAATGTTGGGGGTTTCAGCAAGTAATTTCATACAAAATTTCACAAAATCCCATATAAAGTTCGCCTATTATAACAATACAGAGTCTCAACCCTCTGTTTGCTGGCCAAGAAAACACCGTGAAAAAAAAATCAAATCATACGCTTTATTTTCACTTCTATCTTTCGATTTTTCTATCCAAACAGTGAAAAAACAATAATTTATAACATTTTAGTTATATTTCCTCCCTCGTTTTCTGGGGAACCATACGGATTACTTCAAGGAAAATAGAAATCGAAGTTAACAATAAGTTAAAGATAAATCAATACAGATTCATTCAGAATAAAAAACTGACCTTTTCTGTGAACGCAGGTTGGAGATCTTCGAATACGATACTATTCGAATAGAGAGAAGATTGAAAATCGAAGCTGCTCTTACTTCCTCAGCGTCTCTCTCCTCTTTTTCTCTCTCTTCTCTCTCTCCTCGTTGACGTGATTGGATTTACAGCCCAACACAGACGCATTACTGCTTTTCATGTTTTACATATTCGCCCTAAAATATTTTGTATTAAGGCGAGACTCCCAACATTTTATGTTTACTCTTTTTAGGGTAAAAAAACTTTCATATCTTACATATTCGCCGTAAAATAGTTTGTATTAAGCCGAAAGCCCCAACTTTACCGTTTAATTTTTTTAGGGTAAAATTTAGTGCCCTTTGGTAAACAAGGCTGCAAGGTAAAATCTTGTGTGAAATCACCGAGAAGGCGGGAAATTACATATATCATTTTTTTTTTCCTAATTTATACTCACACACTTTCTTTCCACAAATTGTTTGTACTCAGGAAGAGTCAAACATTAAACTGACCTAAAATTATTGTGTAAAATTACATATATCATTTAAACACAAGTTTTAGAGGAATGAAAGAAGTAGATAGAATGTAAAATTATTGTTTAAAAACTGAAGGGCATCTAGACCAATGGTTTAACCTCCCCCATTTTCAAAGAGGAGGGGAAGGGTTTGAGCCTGGTGCGGACAAAACGTGAATGTGAATTGTGTTTCTTGTTAATGTAAAAAAAATATTTTAAAAAAATATCAAAAAAAAAAAAATTAAAAAAAAAAGAACTTAAGCAAGGAATAGAATTAGAGGATAGTAATAATTTCTATTGTGTTTGAAAGTGTTGAGAAGAAAATAAGTTTTCACCTGTGAATAAAATTTTAACTCTATCATTTCATTCCTTATAGAAAAAATAAATAAATAAAATATTGGTTAAAGGGTTAAGCCATCTTTTATTTGCCTTTCTTTTCACTCCTCACATTTAAGTTAAGGCTTGCTCTTTGTGCAAAATAAAAATTTCATTTTAGATTATTAACAATTTAACATTAATGGATTATTTGTTAACATCAACAAAAATTTATACATGATAGAATCTTCAATCTTGCAATTTATTGAAACTATTTCATATATTAAAAGTATCATGTTACACCATCAAAGTATGAAAACTAGTTGAAGATGATTATAAATGCATTGAACAAATATTATCAATCAATATTTAAAAAGTAGAATTTTTTATTACTTGTGTTGGTAAAAAAATATATATATATTATCTCATAAGTTATCATATATCTATCCATATAAGTCATTGATTTTGTGTTCTCTTTTTAATTTTTAGGCTGTTGATATTAATGGTGTCGGACTTTTTAAAACACCCTATAATGTACTACCGAATACATACAATCTTGGATCGCATGTGTTCACCGTCAACATGTTATGCATCAATTGCCTGTGAAATTAGGTTATCTTAAGTAATGAGGGAGCTAATCCAAGGAGTAGGTGACCACTATCCAAGCAACCAAATGAGCATATACCCATTAAAAGCCCTATCTAATTCAAGACAACAGCTGGAAACTGCATGCTTTATAAAGTAACAGCTTCAAGATATGAGCCATACTTTGAAAGGACACATAGAAAGCCTGGTCAAAAAAAGGTTAAGTAGGAGATGTCATAATCAAACCAGCCTAGCTAACAAAAGGACACTCCAAAGTTACATATATAATAGCAAATGACTCTCTTCTCCAACTACTTCAAGTTGGCATTTTATGACAGAGGGCTTGCCACTAAAATTTAGATAAGAATTTATCATAGAAAATGACCCGGATTACCATTTTTTTTTTTTTTTTTTTTTAAAAAAAAGTGGGAAGGATTTGAACATAAAATATCTTAAGGCTATGTTTGGTGGGCATAAAATTAGAGTTTTGGAATTAGAATTGGAATTAGTTGAATTGAAGGAAAGCAACTAAGAAAATTGAACCAATTTTTTTTTTCTAATTCCACCAATTCCAAAACTCCAATTCCATGCCGCCAAACATAGTCTAATGGTGTGTTTGGCTGTATGAAATTGGAGCCTTGGAATTGAAAATAGTGGAATTTGAAAAAAAATTAGTTCAATTTTCTTAGTTGTTTTTCTCAAATTCCAATTCCAATGGTCCAATTTCATTCAACCGAACACACCCTAAGCCAGGGATGGATCTACTGCCGGCTCAGTTGGGGTACCCACTGAAATTTTTTATTTTTGCATTTTGTACCACTAAAGTTTTATTTTTTTGCATTTATACTCATAAAATTTTAAAATTGCCCCCATTGAAATTATGAAGAACCCCTCTATATAAGTTTGCCCCACCTCACATGATATTTTAAATCCGTTGCTGTCCTAAGCTATGTTCTACTGTATGGAGTTGGAGCTTTGAAATTGAACTTAGTGGAATTGGAGAAAAAACAACTCAAAAAATCAAACTAAAATTTTCTCCAATTCCATGCAGTCAAGAATTTTCAACTTTGAGAATCCCTTTAGTATTGACCCATTGCAGTACCAGAACAAAGGTGACATACTAACTCATAGGAAGTGTTATCCCAATTTTGCAGATCCAACTTTGGGGCTGTTTTTCACGCTTATAATGTAGTCCTCATTCTATAGCATTCTAGTGGCGGAAGTGATTTTTAATTTTAAACTCTGTAATTTTGTTTTGCTCTTCATCATAATGAAATGTAAGTGATTATGTAGACTTAATTCAAATTTGAAGTGAACCACGTAAATATTTGTGTTTTGAAGATAGTTTAAAATTTATGTTGTGCATGTTTATTTTCTTTTATCTTTTTTTTTGGGGGGCAGAAGGTCTAACTTGTGTTGCAAAAATAATATATGGTGGGCATGATGGACCATCAATAACCCACATGGTAGGTGAATTCACCAACCTAATGCCAAAAAAAATCAAACATGTCATGTTCAAGTTTTCTGGATTTGGTACTTTATAATGGCTGATTAACTGCACCATTGAAAAGTAGCAATTGTTGCCCTCCAGCTCTCTTCTCTTAGATGAAAACTTACTAATTTGTTGATCATGGATAATCTTTTCAAATGTTTTGATTTTGATTGGAACCATTTTGGGCAAAAATTGGAAACATGATTGGATTTAAGTTTTAGGTGGCATTAAAAATAGTAATTCTTTTTATAGTGGAGCAATGCAATGATCTTTAATTTGGGGTGCATAAAAAATATATATGTAATTTGGTATATTCCTTTTGTTTTGTCTGTGCTTGTTTGTTTTCTGGGAAAGCCAAAAAAGTTGTTAGACAATGGTGTCTTATCATATGTACAAAATAAAGTGTTTTGTACCATTTGTCTAGGTCTTATTCATTTGTCAATCCTTTTTTTATAATTTACTAAAGCCACAATCTAATGCAGAAATTTGCAGATGAAATAATTTCAGTTACAAATTTGATTCTAACATTAAGCATAATGAAAATTGAAAGGGAACAAAATTGATTCTTCTAACCAAAAAAATAAAAGGAAAACATTTAATAAGGAAGCATTCCAAAACACTCCATACAAATTACAATATGAGAATAGGAGTTTTGTGGAAGCTTAGTGGACACGACACACACACCCCATTCTATCCCTTTTTCCTTTTCTATTTCCTTTTCTATTTTATTAGCGAAGAAACAACTCACCTACCAGCCACTTTATTCTACTAGCCATTTTATACCTTTGAATAATTTCCAAACTTTGAATGCACGCAAACCACACGTGCATCATTTAAACCTAAACTCGTCTCATCTTCGGTGACTCGAATCAAAGATCAGAGAGGAGTACTCACAAAAACCTAAACAGTTGAGGTGTCCATGCAGGCTTATAATTGATCTGTGAACTAATAAAATAAACTAGTGGTGAGATATCAATGTCACTTCCATATATTGTATGAAACTAGTGGTCTAGGTCTAGTTACAGAATACCACAAAAGCAACTTAATGAATTTCACCAGCTATTGGTCTGAATGCTGAGCTAGTGAATTACAAATATACACCTCAAATGACTTTATACCAATAATGGTCAAATGATATTATAAGGAAACAGAAATTCAAATTATTTTGATCCATACACAACAGCCAAAAAAAAAATAATACATGATGAAGCATACTGGATGAGAATCAAAATGGAACAATAACATGCCAACATGGTCACACTGCGTCTTAATAAAATACACACAGTGGACATTTTGTATTTCAGTATTTGTGTTTGTAATGCAACCATTTTTTAACAAGTATGATCATGCCCAATTACTTGGTAGTAGATAATAATAAATAATAAATAAATAAATAAAAAATCTGTTCCTGTTATTTTGCTCTACATCAGAAATAAATTATAGTTACTGAGAGAATCTTACCTTGATAAATATATATTCTTATCCCCACAAAAAAAAAAAAAAAAAAAAAAAAAGTGTAATATGAAAGTATATTCTTCTCCTATTCCCATTTAGACCACACTCAAACTTGCTAAAAATGTATCATTTCTAGGTTTGCCATAGAGTCTATCTCAAAATCAGCAACATTCATCCTTCCCAAAATGTAGCATCCCATAGCCACCTGATTTTGTTTACAGGCTATAGAAATAAGAAGAGGTTCCCCATCACCAGAGGGAGGGGGGTGGGGAAGAAAAGAACAAATTCAGCAAATATTTTGCCAACCCACACTAAATGATCATATCAAAAAAAAAAAAAAAGAAAAAAACATGAACTAAGTTTGCTTGCCACATCCTGTGTGACATACATTATACAATGTAATGAACTTCCGGTGTGCACCTGCCCAGAATTTTTATAAAAAAAATTAACTTAAAAAAATAACTTCCACTGTGTAAATGACTTTCCAAAGGAAACGAGAAAAATAACCTCATAAATTTTTTAACTATTATATGTTTAAACACGGTATAGCAGCAGATTAGATTACAGGGACTCACGATCCAAGCAGCTTCTTCCATCTGGCATATCCTAGAACAAGCAGGAAAAGTAATATACAAGCAGCCGTAATAACTCCAACGAAGGTGGGAAATATCCCATGGGTGTCATACAGTTGACAATGTATGTTCATACCAAAAATCCCTGCTATAAGAGTCTCAGTAGCAATGGCAAATGATGCGATGGTCAGTGTCAATTGGAGTTGAATGAGTTCATTTCGCTGGTTGTCAAGTTGGATGTTGACATAATCTTCTGTGTCATCAATGTACTCACGAACCTGCAAAATCCATGGAGAAAAATTATTTAGTTATATTCAAGGGGGATGAACTAGACAGCAGTGATTCCTGAATAGAGAAACATCCTGGACTAATCAGCTTCTAATCATATAGAAAAATTATAGATATCACATTTTCACTGGTTTATTAGACTCGGTCACACTTCTTGTCCACATTGGGAAATAAAAGAACTACAACTCATAATGCAAAAAAAAAAAAACCTGTTAGATCAGTGTTATCAACATCACAACCTGCAAAACCAGCCAAACCACCTTGCACTAGGGCTTCAACTTAGAATCCCTGTCTATATACAACCAAATCCCAAACAAGCATATAAGAAAACAGTTAAGGCACAATAATTTTTTATATGGGATTGAAGTAAGGTTTTAGAATATCTGCTGAGGTTCCATTCCCAGAAAAGCTATATGGAGCACAAAATCACCCTTCCAAAGTGGCTACTTTTTCTGTGGACAGCTCATGGGTAGTTGGTGAATCATCTGTTGATTCATTGCACATAGCATGGGATAATTGATTACAGGTACTAGCTTTACGAGTAAGAATGATGAGACCTTATGCCACATGTTGGTTAATTGTCGGGTTCCGAAAGAGAGTGCGAACTCTTTGGGTTGCAGTGGTTCTTTCTTAATTCCATAATCAAGGTTTGGCTATCTAGAGGAGTGCTAAAGTGAGTCCAAGAATATGTCCAGTTCTTCAGACATTGCCTTTGTGGTGTGTGAAAGGGATGGAAGATACACTCCTTCGAGGTTGTGGAGATTACTGTTTTGAAACTGATGTATAGTCTATAGAGTTCTTGGTATTTTTTTGGTCATAAGACTGAAGTATATTCTATTGGTTCTCAGTATTTTTCGGTCACGAGGACTTCTGTTGTGATGAATTTTTTGTACAATTCTTTAGTGATACGTGAGTATAATTCCTAATAACTTTCTATATGCACTCCATGTTTATGTAGGCTGCAACATGTGGTGATTTCAGAGCACACTAACCTCGGATTCGGTCTAGAATCGCCGCCTGAGGTTGAAAATAGTGGAAAATGTTTCTACCTCAGCATGATTAGGAGCGTTGGAGGGGCCCTTTAAGGAGACTTAGATCTTTTTACGCATTACAAAGAGAGGGAAGGAAAAATTGCTTTGTACAGGAATTGAAGAATTGCTATAAATTCAGTGCCTTGATTTCAGAGCAAGGACTTCAGAATCAGGACTTTTGTCTCACTAAAGGTGATTGATAGGATCAAACAAAGGGTCCAATCAAAAAATTGTGAAGTAAAAAAAAAAAAAAAAAAAAAAAAAGAACCATTTATACGTCGGGACTCGGGAGTAGTGTTAAAAATTTAGAACACTCTCAGAAAGGACAATTATAAATTCAGTGAAAAGAGGCACTCCTAGCCCACCATTATTTGATCACGCAGAGCCTTAATAATTCCATTCTACAGCCCCCACCACCACCACCAAAAAGAAAAAAGGAAAAAAAATTTACATCAGGAATATATTGAGCTAAAATAGATTTTTTGATTTTAATGTAGAACTCGAAAAAAATAATAAATAAATAAAAAGACAAACTGAATTTAAAAAAGGAATTTGAAATGAATTCAAACGTTTAACAATAAGCAATATTTTTTATTTAGTTATAAGAACTATTAATAGATTTTATATATATATATATCAGAATAGATGTACTAATAATAGTGGATTTCTTTAAATTTCTTCAAGGTAAATAAATATAAGTGACTTAAAATTTTATTTGTTAAGGAAACTAGGGAAAGGGGAAAGAATCTCATTTTGATAATATAGTCAAAATCCTTTATACTATTATTGAAATGGAAAATTGCCAAAAATTCAAATCCATAAAAATAGCATTGAATATTTTTACAATTAACTGTTCAAAAAAATCAAGTATTAGCAGAAAATATACAAGACATGAACCTAATATTGATTCATGCTAAATCCAAAATTTAGAGGTAAGAGAACAATTGAGAGGGATTCACATATTTCTTTACACAAAAAGATATCTCACATAAGGAAACTGTTTAACTTAAAGTGCGGAATTAAGGTTGCCAAATTAAAATCCATCTAGGAAGCACGGACACTCCAAAATGGGCGAAGAATCCGTGTCCGACACGTGTCGGACACGGACACGCGTTGGACACGCCCCGACACGTGTCGGACACGCCAAAAAACGTGTCTGGAAATTTTTTTTTTTTTTTTTTAATTTTCGGACACGGCTCGGACACGGCTCAGACACGGCTCGGACACGCCACGGACACGGCTCGGACACGGCTCAGACAGCTCGGACACGGCTCGGACACACTTTTCTGGAATTTTTTTTTTTTAAAAAAATTTTTAATTCTGATATGTTAATTTTTTTTTTTTTTTTTTTTTTTTTTAATGCTGATATGTTCTATTTTTTGTTTTGTACTACCCTAAAGATGTTGATATATATATATATACTAACCTAAAGATGCCACAATTCGCCGTGTCCGTGTCCTAAAGATGCTGATATATATATATACTAACATATCAGTGATATATATATATATTCCAACCTAAACATATCAGTGTTTTTTTTTTAAAATTATTAATGCTGATATATATATATATATATATATATACACTATTCGCCGTGTCCGTGTCCTAATTTTTTTGGATTTGCCGTGTCGCCGTGTCTGTGTCGTGTCGTATCCGTGTCCCGTATCCGTGTCCGTGCTTCTTAGAAATCCATTCAGGGAACAAAACAATGTTGCCAAAATAAATTATGAAAGTTCAGCTGATGTTCATTGCTGGAGGAACTAACATAAAATGGTTTAATATACTTAATGCTTCTAGATTCAGCTCATGTAATAGTCAAGAAGAATAATACTCACAGAGAGTATCTTGTTACGAGTCCCATCTAGCTGCATGAAATAAGCCTCAAGCAACATCTCCAGATCCTCCACATCATGGTCATTCAAATTGTTGCTCGAGATCAAACTTCCACTCCTGATAGAATTCATATGACGAAGATGGGGTGCAGCAGTGGAAGCTGTAGCTCCCAACAAAGCCTCATATTGCTGATTTTGAATCCACTTCCTTGTCAAGTATAATTGTGCCATATCTTCATTGTCATCTAAAAGATGTTCAATTTCATCCCTCACCTATCATAACAGATGTTTAATCTTCAATAAAACAACAACACAACGTATAAATGAAGGCCGTCATTAGTTATATGCAACAAATGTCAAGGAGAATACTCATAGCAAGTGTAAAAACTAGTGGAGAATATGCTTTCTTCATTTGAAGTTGGCAATTAAGTTCCTTAAATTTTAGGAATTAAAACAGAAAGGCCTTGGCGCAGATTAGTATCTTGTACGTATGGGGAAGATGTTGAAGGATGGACTACATGTCCGGTTTCTATTGCGGGAGGAGTTGGGGCTTGGAAATCCATTCTGAAAGGATGGGATGCCTTTTCCTTTCATATCAGATTCAGAGTTCGTGATGGTAGTTGCGTTCGTTTTTGGGAAGATCTTTGGTGTGGGGACCAGCCTTTATGTCGTACATTTCCCAGATTATATGGTATTGCAGTTGATAAACATGCCATTGTAGCTAACTGTTATCAACTTGATAACAGTGGGAGAACGTGGAATGTTCATTTTCGGCCTTCATTTCAGGATTGGGAGTTGGAAGAGGTGAGCATTTTCTTGGATCAATTGTATCGGCAAGAAGGAATTGGAAGGGGTTATGACAATTTGATTTGGATTCCCTCCTCTCACGGGCGTTTTGCAGTAAGGTCTTTGTTCTTATATCTGTCCAATTTTGCATCCTATGATTTTCCATGTAAGACTATTTGGTGTTCTATGGCTCCTACTAGGGTGGCATTTTTTGTATGGACTGCTGTTTGGGGTAAGAGAGGAAAAGGGGAAATCTTTTTGTTAATTGGTGTTGCATTTGTAAGCGGGATGGGGAGTCAGTCAATCATCTCCTAATGCATTGCTCTGTAGCGCACGATTGCTGGAATTTATTTCTTGCCCTATTTGGCATGTGTTGGGTAATGCCACGCTCTACTAAGGAGTCGATTCATGCTTGGAGAGGTTGTTGTGTGAGTAAGAGTGTTCGTGCTTATTGGAGATCTGTACCACATTGTATTTGGTAGTGCATCTGGAAGGAGTGAAATAGTATAACGTTTGAAGGGAAGGAGTCGTCTATAGCAACTCTGAAACTTTTTATTATTCGTTCTCTTTTTAATTATGTGAACAGAAGTTCGTGTTCCTCTTCTGTGATTTAATTTCTTTTTTGGATTCTTTGGGGCCTTAGACCCCGGTTTCTCTTATGTTTACGGGACGCGTTCCCCTATTGAATGCCTTTTTTAATTTTTTATTACTTATCAAATCCAAAAAAAAAAAAAAAAAAAAGAAAAGCATTATTTTAAAATGGGATACTTTATACACCATATGCAAATCAGGAACCTTCGAATGCATCTATCATTCTATTGTACAATTTTAAACTTTGACGCATATGAGAGTCTTTCTTTTAGGAAACCAAAGGACAGGAACCACCAAAAACAAAGTTCCATATCCAACTTTTTGGAATGTAATTATCACATGCAGCTTAATTCTGAGTGTAGTAAATCTAACTGACCTTGCACCTCCAGCCAACAACTTGGAAGTGCGCCCATATTCTAATCACGTGATAAAAACCACAAGTGAACCTAAATGAATGAGAAATGCCTTGTGAAGCATGCTGCTAATTTAAAAAAAAATGGACCATGCATGGTACGATAAGTTTTTTTTTTTCCTGAATGGTACGATAAGTTTACATGTGTGTCTTGTGATAAATGCTCTCAAGGTTGACAGGGTCATAATTCTTAATAAAAAAAGCTTCTAATACTTGGTGAAAATTGAAGCAAATTACATGTTCCACAAAATGAAGCATCCATTTGTCAATTTCCCCAAAACCTATCTGTAAAAGGTGCCTGACACCGTTAGAGTTGGTTCAAGTTAGAGCCAATCAGTAATTAAAATTGACACATACCAGCTCTAGAGAAACCAACTTAGAATCATACCATCGTTGAATACAAGCAAATGAATGCTTTAATTAAATTTTCGTATGAAAAGAAATGAAAGTATAGCATCATTTCTCATATTGGTTTGTGTATGGGGGGATGTAATACTAGTACTCATACTCTCAATCAGAAGATTTGTAGAAGTTACTGCACAATGGTAACAAGCCTTTTTTAAAAAAAAAAAAAAAAAAAAAAAAAAAAAAAAAAAAAAATTATTCATAATCTCCAAGAAGTGGGAGAAAGATCATTTAGAGTAGCTGAAAATTTAGAATCACTTAAATAAATCAATTGTAAACATGGGAACTGATTATGCAGCATCTTAATTTGTAAATAAAATATAAGGAAAGGTCAATGTGGCACAGCTAAGAGCAAGAGGAGGCAATCCATTTCCGTTTCACAGTTCCTCCATGGTGGTAGAAGGAAGTTCTTAGTAATTCTAATGTATTTTGATTTTAGAGCCTTGAGCTAGTTGCTGTGGGTAAGAATTGACTGGTAGGAAGGAAATAAAAATAAAAGTAAATGAGTTGGGTGACAAAAAGGGAAGAAAAAAAATAATTACTATTCTTTGCAAGCTTCATCTTGTATAAATTAAGAAATATTCCGTGACTTTAGACTTGGCCAGTTATAAACACAGTCTAGGGAGTTGGAAAAGTTTATTGTATGCAATAAGGAAACTGAAAATGAAATCACGGTCCTTACCAGAAGCTTTGTCAGTGATTCTTCAAGTAAAAGTGGAGCCATATACGTTTCGTGTCATTATAGAATTACTTGTCAAATGTCAATAACTGCAGTGTTTTGAAGTTGAGCAAATAAAAAGCCAGGGAGGATTCACTTTAACAATGAAGTGGTTGTCAATTTACAGAAATGTCGTCGGAGATAAATTTCTTGACCAGTATGCATTCTGTGGAAGTTGGTTGGCTATCAAGAGACTATCCCTCTACCTTTAAAATTGGGGATACTTGTGAAGGTTTACCAGAAATGGAATGGAATACTCTAATTACAGTCGAAGGGACATCAAATCAGCAGATTCGACTCGATTATGGAAATGCAGAATAGACGAATTTCATAATCTCTATAATTTAGGATCTATCTAAACCTACAGCTAGTTTGAACCAAATGTCAAAAGCTGAAAAACAAATGTGACATGGAGAATCTATTACTCTCAACACAATGGATATGACAATTTATGTTTTGAGTTACAACAGATAAATACAGTGAAAATGCGACTCGGTTAATTAACAGATGAAAAAGTGGTAGTGAAACATCTAAAGGTGATAACTGAAGTGGTTCGTAGCGTATTCATTGGGCCAGCCTTAAAAATTTAGGGTATTGCAAATCAAGAATCAGCTGAATACCCTTCACTGTTGATAACTCGAGAGAAGTTCAGATAAAAACTGTGTGAGGCAGAAATTACAGTATACCCTTTATCCCAAAGGCAACATTTGGTAGAGTAACCAATTAATGTATGACAGAAATTAGAAGTGGCATATATTAGAGATAAAATAACAGAAAGCAGACTAGGTGGTATTAATGTGCACGCCAATAAGTAAGAAAAGGAAATTTAGTTTGCATAGAAGAATATAGACGAAAAGGCCAGTCAAAAGTAACATTGGATGAAGCTACTAAAATTGATTTTTAAAAAATTAAATATAATAAGAGAAATGGCCTTATATAGAAAATAATGGAAAAAGAGAATTCATCTAAACACTCTTATTTGTTAGGATAAAGGCAAGGTTCATAATGATGATGACATATACATATTCTATCAAAATCATACAAGCAAAGGGAAAAGAAACAAATCAATATTTTACCTTTTGTACCCTCGCAAGCAAACGGGTAAGATTGCTTTTCAAACTCCGTACATGCTCAAGATTCTTGGTGCTAACATTCCTGGCCAGTTCATCCAACACTGGGTAAGCATCTCTCTCAAGGTCTGCCACACTGGAGTCCAAAAATGTACAGACGACCTCTAATGCAATCTCCAAAACTTGAAACTCAAATGGAAGCTCACATTGCAAACCTTCAACAGCTTCAGGGACTGGTAACCATTGTCCCCCGGTTGAAAAATGTGTTTCATTATTTTCTGCGGCATTTTGACCAGCTGCTTGAATTTTAAATGGGGTTTTCTGAGAAAGTTGTTGCCTTAGCTGATCGACAAATGGAAGAACCTCCTGGCAGAGAGGATCAAGCAATAGCACTTCTTCAGCTGTAACTATAGCCTTTATAAACTCTAAATTAACAACCATGGCTTTCTCTCTAGCTGCAAAGGGTAAGAAGACATTTAATTATCTTAGAAGAGCAAGAAAATCATATACAAGATGAAGCTCGTGGCATCTCACCAATTTATTAAAGGGGTTTGCCCTAAGGATGACTACTATATGTTAGACTTTATTTTCCCCTTATGTGTCCTCAACAAGCAACAATTCGCAATTCTCAAGGGCACAACAATAAATTAGACTGCATTAAAAAAAATAAATTAAAAAAATAAATAAATAAAAAGTCCTATAATGCTAACACGTGCCTCGTAATTACCGACAAGTGTTCCTGCATTAGTTTTGTGTATTGCTCATTCTTTATTGTGATCGCTGGTCTTCTAGACTGAAGCATCTTTGCTACTTTAATATTGTGAATTCAGTCGAAAACCATGTTTTCTAAGAAAGTCCATGCGTCAAGGAAATTTGTTGCTATGAAATTAATTAATAAGCATCATCGTGAAACCACAAAGCATCACCATCACCATTGCCATCATCATCAACAACAATTGTAACAGTAGAAACAACAGTAAAGAAAACAGAGGTAAAGCCGAAACTGAAATACAAAATACCTATATATATATATATATATATATATATATATATATTGAGTTTTTAAAATTTTTGGAATTGTAATGTCATCCCAGAAATGATTTTTTTTTTTTTTTTGATAAGTAAAAATGCAGTCATCCAGAAATGATAAACAGGTCGCGATTAATATAATTAGGAGTAAGCCCAGAAAAAACATAGAATTGTGTTGGTCTTACACCCAATATCAGACTTGCTTTTACTAAAATTCAGCAATCTTATAGGAATTGAAAAGTACAGTCTATTCTATCGATCATTCAATTGATATCAGAGGAACTACTATATATATATATATATATATATATATAATTAGACGATTATATGAGTAAATAACGATCCATTACCAAGAATATTGGAGGATTGAGAGAATACGGGGCCAAGAATTCGCAAATCCCTAGCCGGAATCGAAGCGCGCTTGATGATGGTACCCTTGTCGCATTCGATGAGCTCCGATTGGCCGAACCGGTCGAAACGCATCCACAGCCTCGCCCCTCCGGCCTTTTTCTTCGGCTTGGTCGACCCTCCCGCCGCCACCATGGCGGAGATCGAGTTATTGGCGGCGGCGGCGGCGGCCTCCAGCGCCGGCAGCATCTGCGGCGTCTCCGCCCCCTTCTTCTTCCGGCGACGGCTGGTCGTCCGCCGAAACGAGAATGGCCCCTTCCCCATTCTCTCTCTCTCTCTCTCTCTCTCTAAATCAAAACCCTCAAGTCTCTCCAACTTTCTCTTTCTAGAATTGTTTTCTTTTTGTCACTCTCTCTCTCTAGAAGGAGAGAAGATCGTCCCTCTCGTTCTCTTCCTCTTCTCCTCCTTCTCCTTCTTCCATACACACCTTATTGATGGATTGTTTGCTTTTTTCTTTTTTTCTTTTTTCCAGATTCAGGCGTGATTGTCAACGCTATGTGGAGCTTTTTATTTTTATTTATTAAAATAATGCATTACTATACAAATTTCAATTTTGTACTGTGTGCAATTGGAGAGTTTAGAGAGAGAAAGTGAAGTTAGAGTAGGGTTGTCGTCCCGTAATTGGAGGAGGTGACAATTGATCCTCACTTATTATAGCAAATCTTTTTAGAGATTGACCGTTAACCATTGATTTTTAAAAAAATTTCTTAAGCAGTCAATTCATGGTCAGAGTACGAGTCGTAGAGTTTTTTTTTTTTTTTTTTTTTTTTTTTTTTTTTTTGGGTTAAATTAGGACTCGTAGAGTTGATGCATCTTCAACCATTATTTTAAATTCTAAGTGAAACTCAATATTTATCATTTGGCATAATTTTAAAGGGCAAAAATCTTCTCAGCACCTCTCATTGAATGTTGTCTATGTACGATCCAATAAACACCAACTCAACATCTAAAATATATTTGGCTGTGATGAAGTCATCTTATTTATATTTGTCTTGTCATTGTTCTATAAACACCAACTCAACATCTAAAATAATAAAGTTAATGAACTCAATTTTGTTTTATCATGTACAAATACCATATACAAAAATTATATAAAAATATTTTATTCAATTATACACGGAACCTACTTCAGTAAAAACCCATTTAATTTTTACTTCTTCTCTTTTGTTCGTCTGTTTTTTTTTTTTTTTGCTTCTATTCTCTTCTTCTTATCTTGTACAAATACCATATACAAAAATTATATAAAAATATTTTATTCAATTATACGCGGAACCTACTTCAGTAAAAACCCATTTAATTTTTACTTCTTCTCTTTTGTTCGTCTTTTTTTTTTGCTTCTGTTCTCTTCTTCTTCCTTCATCCTCCTCTGATTTTTGGTGGGTAATGGAATTGGCTAGGTAAAATAATGGAATTGATTTTATGTTTCCTCCTATTTCCATATAACACACTTTAAAGTGGAATTGAATTTCAATTGATTTGAGCGAGAAATAAGATTATTATGTGAAAAAGAGAGGTAATGATGTATACTTATCATGAGAGATGATTATGGTTTGGTAATTAATGAATAATGATCTTGAATTTAAAGATGGTGATCAAAATTTGGGAGGAAATATGAGACAAAAACTTATTAGTTGAAAAATAGGTCTAAATAGTATGTTATTATTTTTTCACTTCTTGCTACTTATTTAAAAGCGGTCATTACCAAAGGAAATTTTGTGTATATGCATTACATATCTCAATTGGATAGATAAATTTAGAATTTTAGATTACAATAAATAAAAATCACAAATTCTTAAACATATATTATGTATTAATTGAATATTGTCTCAGAATATTTTCATAACACATCAAAAATATACTTCACAAAGTATCGTCTTCCCTTCGGTTGTTTATTAATAAAATTTATATGTATTAATTGAATATTGTCTCAGAATATTTTCATAACACATCAAAAATATACTTCACAAAGTATCGTCTTCCCTTCGGTTGTTTATTAATAAAATTTAATTTTGAAAAAAATATATATATAGTGATGTTTAATTTACGTTTCAAAAAAATATATATAGTGATGTTTAATTTACGTTTGAAACTCACAACTTTCTTTTAGACATTAATTTATATAGTAAGTGATACGTGTTACAAGTAATTTGTGATGCTAGATATAATTTACATTTGAAATATGTTTTCACTTTGACAATGGGACAATCTTCCACTGATAAAAGAAAGTTGATGGATTTATTTTCTCCCATTCTTTTTTATATTATTGTTGTATTATAAAGTTCATAAATAATATATGCTACAATTAAGTTGAGATGTATCATATAATTGATATTTGAAACATTGTACTTTAAAGTTATGAAGTTTTCAAGATATGTTTGTTTAATATTACGTTTAAAGATGGGTGATCAAGATTTGGGGGTAAATATGAGACAAAAACTTATTTATTGAAAAATAGGTCTAAGTAGCATGTTATTATTTTTTCACTTTTTGCTACTTATTTAAAAGCTGTCATTACCAAAGAAATTTTTGTGTATATTTCTTGAAAAATAGGTCTAAGTAGCATGTTATTATTTTTTTACTTTTTGCTACTTATTTAAAAGCTGTCATTACCAAAGAAAATTTTGTGTATATACATTATATATCTCAATCTTTTAACAAATTAAAATTTTGTGTAATTACATTCCCCAAAAAAAAGAAAAAATTTGTGCATTTCCCAAAAAAACAAATTTTGCACAATCATTCTATCTACAAAACAACACAGGCCTCAAAACATTCACTCCCCCAAATCTTGCCTCAATTAGTTGGTATCAATAAACATTTACTCCCCCAAATCTTGTCTCAATTAGTTGATACCCCAATTAGTTGGTATCAACAAACATTCACTCCCCCAAATCTTTGCCTCAATTAGTAGGTATCAACAATTCAACCCAAAAAAATGAATACGAAAAAAAAAAAAAAAAAATCAAATCCACAAGTCACCCTCCCCCGTATCTCCCCCCAATATCAGCATCAAACTACCAATCAAAAAGAAAAAAAAATTCAAATCAAATAATAACATTCACAACGTTGTCGCCAATTTCGGTTCGGTGACCTAGAAGCCTAATTCAAGTTTCAGTGACCAAATCACAAGCTCCCTACTGCAGTTTCAGTATGTTAACGAGCCTCCCAACACTGACAAGCAAAACCAACCAAACTAGACCCAGCAACCTCCATTGTTTCCAGCCAAGCTTCATTCATATCATTAATGTTCGGCAAAGCTCCGAGCTAGCACGAACAAGTAGAAGAAGCCCATAGTAGTAGCAGCATGCTCCAGTTGAGGCAAACATCAGTTCCGATTTATTCCAGTCGGGCAAACTCAATTAGGTATGTCACCATTGAAAAGGTTGCCGGAAAATTAGGAAGCTTGGTCAGATTCTTCTATAGCCGAATTCTTGATCAGCAGAGAGAGACTTGAATTTCAGAGGGAGAAAGGTCTAAATTTCAGAGGGAAATAATGAAGTAAAACTTAAGGATATAGAATAAAATTTTGGGGGGAATTTGAATTTCATTTTGTATAGAGAAGTAAGAATTCTTGTACAGATACAAAAGTTTGATATAGGTATGTATGTATATACAACTTATAAGGTAAATACCTTTTTTTTTTTTTAACTAAAAGTGCCATTTCAACATTTTACCCTTCCAAGGAAGTGAGAGGTGCTTGGAGAGGATTTTTCTCCAATATTAAATATGTCAAATTTAGTATATCAAAAAAGAGAAGTGATATGTCTTTCGATCTCAATTGACGACTTATCCTCCGAATACAACGTGGTTGGGAATGAGTCAAAAAGAAAGAGATATTTACGGGATTTTGTTTTAAGAGTTTCAATGTCATCCAACCACATTGTATTAGGAGGATGAGTCGTCAATTTTAATCGGAAGACCTATCTTTTCTCATCGAAAAATTGTATAGCAAATAAATTATTCTTATTATTTTAATATATGAATCTCAAGTATCATTAAAATTTTGCATAAATAAATATGAAAATATTAATACAGATATGCTAATATTAATAAATTCAACATATCAAGTGGAGTTCTAATACATAGATATGTCAAAATTTCATATGTTAATTTTTCACATCATACCTCAAAAGAATTGGACATAAAATTTGAAGATTCGGATGGAGATGCTCTTACAAGTTAAATTGTATTTGAATTGATATCAATAGTTCCTAAAAATTTGAAACCGGCAACTGAAATCATTGAGGCTTGGCATCGAACCAAACTATGAAAGAATGGTTATGTTCGATTTCAAATCACGGTTTTGTTCTGATAATTATTTTCAATAACCCGAAAAGAAACTGATATTTATTTTCATTATTTTTAAAAAATATATTTATATACTTGTGAATAATCTTATATTTGTAACACGTGTTATATTATTATTTGATAATATTATAATACACACACACACATATATATTTTTAGTTTAAAATGTAAACCCTCCCTCTCAAACAACTCAACCAACGCAAAATGCTCCAAGTCTAGTTATCAATTTTACACATTATCTCTACATATATAATGCTATCATCAAAATGAATGTTAACTCAAGATTATATTCTTTTTGGTTCAAACAGTTTATCGCAGATGGCCAAGGATAAACTAGTACTGAATTATCTTATCCTAAGTCGAATTAAAGTCTAAACTAAATGAGAAAGTAAAAAAAAAAAAAAAAAAAATCTCACTTCACAAACACCATTTAAAACTACAGGAGTCTTAAATTTTTAGTTTTATAAAACAAGACCTAAGATTCTGCAAAGTCTGTATGAGTTTGGCAAGGAAATGTACGGATTTTTGGTAACAAGAGTAGTAGTGAAATCCATGGGGGCCATTGTATTGCAATATTCATCGCTGATCTCTAAATATGCCACTTCCGTACCGTTCCTGAACATGAAAAGCAAAACCATTGTTATTATCAAAACACCTCGTATCAATCAGATACCGTGGCATCGAGCTTGTAAACTGGTCGTAAATCTTCTGAGTCAGCAGATTGAATTATGTCTGATAAACAGCACTTCATCTTCTTCCATGGGACCTTGCACGAATGAAGATGTTATGGAGTTCATGATGGTTAAATACCAGTCGAGGCTTTAATGGGCACCTCCGAATGATCCCCTTGAGAAGTTTTAGGGTGGAAGACATCACTAACGTACCTAATATGCCACGCCTGATAGGTTGGAAACTCTGGATGGACTCGGTTATACACACACACAAAAACTTCAGCAGCACAGAGACCTGATCTCCATTTGAAATCTCAGTCGCTAAGACATCTGTTCTTTATTATAATAGTCCACAGTGTATAGGACTTGAGACACTAGTGACGCTAACCATGAGTACCGGAGCATCAATGACATGACCAGCAGTGTAACACTGGACGCCGATGCCATCAACCGCTATAGACTTAAGGAAGTCAGTAACCTGCGGAACGGAATTTTTTGTGTACTGTTAAAAGGTGACGATGAAACTCAAGTCTAATCCAAGTTGCAAATGTATAAAATATTGCCAAACTTCATAAATCACGTTCACAAATCACAGTTGGAATAAATCTCTAAAATATACTACGAAATATGTAAATAAATCTCTAGAAAATGCAATTAAATGCCAGCATCTAAATATGGAGTACTGAAGAATCTGTAGAGAGCATCGTATTGCTTTTCTTTTCCTTTCACATTCTTTTCCTTTCACATTTTCAAGAAAAACAAGTTCCATATTCGGCATTTCCATGAAAATAGTCACTTCATAAAAAAAGGCAACAGGTGCTTTCATAAGTGCTCGCTAGTTTCATACTCTTACGGCCCAATCTTTGCTTGTTCTTGTAGTGGCATGAAGTATTAAATTGTTTGGCATGCTTATAGTTAGAACTTGCCAAGATTCTTTTTCTAGTAATCTGGGGGTATTGCTCCGTTAGCTTTTGTATACAATTTATTTATATGTTTTTAATACAATATTCATCATGAAAAAGAAAAAATGCATGGACAAAAGATGCAAACCCTAGAAGCTAGGGGCCTACTTGGTTTGTTACTCTAAGAACAGTTTTATAGTTTTATGTTTTCAAAAAACTGAAAATAGAAAATTGTACAAAAAACTGTTTGGTTCAGTTTTCTGAAAACTCAGTTATAAAAAGGTTTGTTTTTAAAGAACGGTCTTTTATTGTTCTCTGAAAACTGTTTTCTGTTCTCTAATTTTTGAGAACTGTTTTCAGAGTTACAAACCAAGCAAGCCCTAAGTAATTTCAACTGAATTGAGGAGGAGCAAAATGCTGTCCAATGCATACAAGATCAATGGGTATTGGACCAGTTGCTTGGCACGCCCTAACATCTTTAACTCCATGCATATGTATATGGAAGGTGATGTAGAGCAATTTAATCATAAAACAGATTTAATTCAGGTACAGGGATTTGGCTTAGGAAAAGGGATTAGCAAAAACAGGTCAATTCTTTAGCACGTGTTAATATGAAAGGTCATTGAAATATAGCACTAAACTAAATGGGGACTCTGGGACTTAACGAGCTGGGTTCAGATTTAAATTTTCCAGGGTTCACAAGGATCCAACCTCAAATCTTAAGACTGCACGAGGAATAAACAACCATTAGACCAATCCTCCTTCGACTACTCGAGCAATGATAACACATGTAACAGTATCATGATGTTGCTAATCAGTAAGCGTTTCTCTTAAATATATCAAACTATTAAAAGGCAACTTCCAAGTCAAAAATAAACCTTTAGAAAATAAGATTTTCCATTACAAAAACATATTGTAACTAAAAATCCCCTACTGTTGCTAAAATTTCAAGAAACGATTAGCAGTCCATTGGCACAGTCGTAAATCAATCAACCAACCAACCAATAAGTACAGCATCAATAGCATGGTGCCACCATGCTGTAAAAAGGTTACAAATCTTGTATGCTTTAAGACATTGCCTAGGGGGGAAAAATGGTTCGGCAAGGGTGCAACTGGTGCTGCATCCATATTTATACGAAATAGACACACAAGTTGTGAAGGTTTCTAAATTTGCAAAGCAGTCTATCAAAAAAAACTTCAAAACTGTGTGTGTGTGTGTGTGTGTGAGAGAGAGAGAGAGAGAGAGAGAGAGAGAGAGATGATTCATTTTAACTTTTTTTTGGGTAAGTATTAACTTTCACTTTAAGTGAAGATATTATGAAGAAAAAGTAGGACGGCAGAACATGATCTGCTGTGTCCACTTCAATAGCTGGGATAAGCATAATATATTTAGTAGGCAACAAGGAACCAATCTCAACTTGATAGATGTTATCAATCAGCATTGCTGTACACTGTAGAAACACTATACAACATAAAAACTTATTCGTTCTGGGTTCGACTCTCACAGGGCACAAAAACACCTGGGTATTGCATATGACCGGTCAGATGATTGCATATGAATGGTCAGATAATGCATGCATCATCAGGGTTCAAGGTATCCAAGGTTTACTTTGCAGCCTCGTGCACTAAAGGTCACCAGGTTAGAAGGTCCCCCCCAAAAAATTGATTGCATAGTATATATTTACATTATTAGATGTATTCCGTTAGATTGTCTGTTAACGAATGGAATAGACTTGTGCTAACTTTCAGTGAATAATATTTCAGAAGATCAAATAAAAAATCTTGATTAATGGCAATCTCATACTACTAGAGCTAATAAAAAACAGGAGAGAGAAAAATCACGATAAACAAACCTATGGCACAAATAAAAGAAAGCCAATACGGCACCTTCTTATTTGGAGAATCAACAAACTCGTGGATCAACATATACTTTATAAACTACAAATCTTAAATTTGATGATGATCCAGTAAAATGCTAGGTGAAATATGTGCCAAGGGTGCATTTTTTAAATAACTTCTTTGTCAATCTAGAAGATGGAACCAAATTAGAATATACGAAAAAGAAAAAAGCAACATCTTGTGCAGGCACGGATGAAGGATGGAACATGTTTTAATGAACAAACATACCTTAGTTTGTCCACAGAGAGGGAACCCGAGTAAGACGGTGCCTGTGAAAAGAACATCCGGGCCAGGTTGTGGTGCAACGACAGCTGCAATTCCAGAAGCTCATAGAGGAGCGGAATGGCGAATGGCCAACCTCTGTCTGGTATTGCTTAAGCAGACACCGGGAAAACAATTAGATGCTTCTGCAGACAGCTGCACTAATGATGTTTCTCAAGAACGTGATGGGACAGCCACTTGATGTTCTCAAGTGGCTTGTTCCTGTTCTCTCTGGAAACAACTGATGATATAACAGGGAAAGTAATGTTCCTGATCAACAGTACAAGTGTGACTGTAAAAGAAGGAAAGTTTCTTCAACCAGAATTTAAAAGAATATTGGGGTTTCTGAATGTCTCCCAGACTAACATGACCATGAACTCTGGAAGTTGCTACGAAGCAGCACAAGCACCAAAGAATAACTGCTTGAAGAAGGAAGGGAAGCAATGCAATCTAAGGTCACTCGTACACACTATGATAAAAGCAACTTGCAGATGTTGCTTAGGTCACCAAAACACAGCCTCAGAATGTGGTCTAATGGACATATATAAGCATCTCATTCATCTGAAAAGGAAGATATACAAAGTAAATATATGTAATTCCCCTATGGAAGCAACAAAATTTCAGCAGAAAATATGAAAAGGGACAACATCCTAGACTTTGGATGAAATGACAATATATGCTGTAGAAAATAAATCAATTCTAAGACAGGTTTCTTAGCAAAAATTAATAATAACAATATAAGAAAATTCTAAGACAAGTTCAAGCAGGGAAGTGAATGCCATTTACTTAATGAAAATTTAAAACAAGAAATTCCACAAAAGAAACTACTTTACTACATCCATAAGCATTATGAAGACAGACCAACAGATATAATAACACAACTACAAAAAACAAAATCAAATATGTAACTCACAGCCCAATAGCTAAGACTTCACAGATATATTTGTAATTATATAAAGGATAAAGTGCAAGAAACCCTCTGGTATATAAAAATCGTGCACACAACACCCCTCCTGTTTGGAATGAGCATATAACCCCTCAACATTTGAAAAATGTGTGCATATTGCCCACTAATAGCTTGACTGTCAATTTTGACCATTTTTTTTTATTTTATTTTTATTTTTTTAACATCAGGGGGTTTTTGCACATTTTGTATATAACAGGGTAGTTTTTGCACTTATATAAATCAATCTGAGGAGAAACGAAGAGAATGTTCAGAAAAACAAAGAACTTTCTAGATATATTTGGACGGTGAATTAAGGGGATTTGAAGGAGAACTGTAAGGAGGTAGAGGACCTTTCCCATTGTCATGCTGGTTTTTATTTCAATTGTAGTTAGGCTCAGGGAACCTATACAGAGTTTAACTAAAAGCCAGCTGAAAAATAGCACTTGTGGTGTAACATGACTCTCATGAGAATTCATCAAACAGATAGTGGATAATCAAGTTCACTATTTTTCATTTGTTTTAACTTTTTAAAAGACAGATGATATGATGGCACATCAAGCTGCTACCAAGTCTCTCGTTCACAAGAGAAGAGAGGAAGGCACAACAAGTGACTTCGTGCCTCCCATGTACAATTGCTTTGGCATCAGGCAATTGGCAAGCAATTTTCTGATTGCATGATTTGATAATTTCCAGATAAGATTAAGGGATTTTTGTAACTGAAACAGGTGTTCTTTGGATATAAGTTGAGCCCTCTTGATAATTACTCATGACGATTCATCAAATATTAGATTTAAAATGTTTAAGTAGAAGAGAATCTTCCCTCACCATGTCTTAGTTTTATAGGATTTGTCATATTGCCATGTTCGTGTCTTGCCATTCTGTGTACCATATCCATTTTCTTACTTTTTTCTGTGTACCATTAGAGAAGCCTGGAAAAAAGGTTTTTTCTACAGGCCCTAATAAAAAAAGATCAATCTTGATGCTAATATCCCTATTGAGGGCATGGCTCTAGACAACAAACATGCGATATCAAAAGGCTTCAAGCCATAAGTGCTTCTCTCCACCATCAAGCATGGAAGGATTCAAACAGTTTGGTGTTTCTCTCTGAACAAATTCAGTTCCAAACCCAATTAACAACACAAGCCATGACTCAAGTCTAAATGAGGTTCATAACAATCAGCCAAACAATTAGTTAATGCCTGACAACCTAAATTTCATGTTGATATGTGCAAAACTATGAATCTTCAGCAAAGAATAGACCAACTCAATGCCGAAACAAGTATAACACGACAAAAAGTACTCCACCAATGTTGTGTTGAAGTTCCCTGTAATATGCTTCAAATATAGGCAAACAATCACTATGGAACAAAACACCATTGAACTGAGAATTTCTAAAATTATGCTGTTTTCTGATGAACTGAAAATTTAACATTAAAAAATGTAGTTCTCAGTAGTACTGATATTTTGAATAACGGAATACAATGAATTGGAAATTGGGGGTATTTTTCTAATTTCAATGAAAATTTAAAACTGCCTTCCCCTGAGGTTTTTTGATAAAATTAAAATTTAATCTCAGGAAATTTTGAGAACTGAACTTTTACTGCGGGAGTTTTAAGTGCTAATTGGAAAATGAGAATTTTTTTGATCCTTCGTTTCAATTTTAAGGGGCTAATTGTTCCTGTTTAAATTTTAATTTTAAGTGTAGAATGAGTAAAGTCTCACTTAAAATTTTACACGTTTTAAGTGGACCTTATTTTTGTAAGCGATATATAAACCACATTATCAAACTTACTTAAATAATCAGCTAATTTATTCTAATCGAGTTAATAGTTATCAAACAACACACAAGTCTATTCAGGATTCATTAAAAATCCATCTCTCTCTGAAATCTTTCTTACTTATCAAAAAAAAAAAAAAAATCATGTCTCTCTAACTTAATTTTTTAAGTTTGTGACTAATTGTACATTAGTAAATGCACTTAATGGAGCAAGCCTTGAAACTTTCCATTCTTAGAACTTCATAGGGTTGTTAAACTGCTGCTAAGTACCAAATTCATCCAAAGAGGAGGCTGCTATTAATAATGAATTCTAATACTTATCAAAGAAATTACTATGAATTCTAAATTTTGATGCAAATTAGTTAAACTAAATGTGGCTGTGTTGCCTCAACAAGTAAGAACTCTAAATTTTAATGCAAATTAGTTAAACTAAATGCAGCTGTGTTGCCTCGACAAATCAATCTTAAATGTAAGTAGTGGCTGTGTTGCTCACCTTGTTGAATCTATCGGTTCTGGTAAGTCTTGTTTGCTGCTCATTTGAAATATCAAGAGATGCTGTAAAGTTCTGCTAGGCCATCTCCATCATAGTTCTTCAATCCCCTTTCCATGTGCTTAAAAAGTAGAGCCTTCAAGCCCAAAAATAAATAAAAGAAATTAAAAGAAAAACTGACAAATGCTGCGTAAACAAATCAATCAGAGAAAAAAAATATTTAATGACATGCATAAATAAATTATTTTGGTGAGATATCTATCTACTAAGTCATCAGTACCCTTGTCACTGTGGAACTGAGAAGAGCAAGTACCCACTATCCCACCGAACCCTGATCTCTTTTCCAACAATAAGTCTCTTCTCTCGAATGATTTTTCCCCATTTGCCAATAAGATTATAGTAACTCCCACACCACCTCAACTTCATCATATAAAATTCACCAGTGTCATCATCTCGAGCATTAATATTCTGTTCCCTTTCATTTCTCAGCAGTTCTCGTGCTTGCAGCGTCCAATGAATGAGAATATGTTCTTCCACTGATTTGCCAGGCAAAGTAAGGAATGGATGACTGGTATCAACATCAGACAACGTGAGGGCCTTCTTAATAGGCCATTCATCATCCAGTCCTTCTGGTACTGCTGCAACATTCCACTCTTGTGGGACTGAGAAGTGTAGGCATGCATTACCCCAGCGTATTTTGATCTCTCTGCCAATCCCAAGTCCCTTTTGTCGAATGATTTTTCCCCATTTCCCAATAAGGTTATAATAATTCCCACGCCACTTCAGCTTCATCACATACATATCACCAGTATCATCATCTCGGGCATTTACATTTACTTGTGCTTCATTTCTGAGACGTTCTCGGTCCTGCTGAGTCCAATGCGCGAGAATATGATCTTCAACCGGCTGCCGAGGCAAAAGTAGGAATGGATGATTAGTATCCACATCAGATAAAGTCAGGACCTTTTTAATGGGCCATCGGTGCTGCTCTTGTGGTGCTGGAACAATCTGCAGTGGCGGTACTACAACAATCTGCTGTTGAGGAACAGAGAAGTGTAAGCAACCATTAACCCAGCGTATCATAATTTCATTCCCAGCACCAAGTCCCTTCCCTCGAACGATTTTGCCCCATTTTCCAATTAGATTATAATAACTCCCACGGAACTTCAGCTTCATCATATACATATCACCAGTATCGTCATCTTGGGCATGAATATTTAATTGCTGGTTATTTCTCAAATGGTCCTGATCTTGAGGACTCAAATGCACGAGAATATGATTCTCAACTGGTTGCCGAGGCAGAGTGAGGAATGGGTGAGTGATATCCACATCAGACAATGTCAGAACCTTCCTGATGGGCCAGTAGTCCTGTCCTCGTGGTGCAACATTATGATATGTAGTCCTCCTCATTGCTAAAATTGAAGAGAAATAAACCCAATTGAAAAGATACTTTTATTGGGTTATCTGGTAATCAATCAACATTTATTTACTAAATTCTTGTTTATACTTGACAAAAAGCATTCTATAAACATAAATAGGGTGCCTACCACCTTCATGCATATTCACAAATTCTACATTTCAACAAAAAAATCAACTCAACGTCAACATAACTTCAAAAGAAAAATCTACTTACACGTGCACATGTTATACATGACAATGGAAAACATAATATTAGCTCATTTGAAAATGGAATATGTAGAATAGACACTTCTTTTAGAGAAAGATGCAATGCATTATACAGAATTGAGTAATGTAAACTGTAAAGAACATTAGAAGTTGCAGTCTTAATTGCCAGCTTGATCACCCTCAACCAAGATCCTACTCATTATAATGAGCTAACAGTAATTAAGATGTACACAACAGAATACCATTGATAATGGAAAACAAATATTAATGTCAACATTTGCAATAATGTACAGTGTTTGAACAATCTAAGTAGCAGTAAAATAAACTCCGCAACCACAGTATCAAACCAATCTGCAACCAAACCTCATTTTTAACCCTAAAAAGATGTGTTTAGACCAATACATAGAGTTGTCTAGCACAAAAATTATTGTGTATATGAATCTATCTATATATGTATGTGCTAAAAACAGCTGATCTGTCCAAATAAACGCCATAGAAAACACGAATTGAATTGTTAGAAACTCATAAATAAAACGCACACATTCATAGATCAAGTTTGAACCAACATATATAGAATTTCATCGATGTCCTCTTTTTATCTTCGTAACAATCTAACGTCTTCGTCAATCGATCAATAGAATAACAAAACGAATATAACTTAAAGGAAAACAAATCAATCAAATCTTTCATGAATGCATGGATGGCATTGTGCAGAAAACCTAATATATGAATATATATAAAATCATATATATATATATATATATATAAATATATATAATAAAAAAAGAAAAAACTCGAAGAAAATTACCTGATCGAAGCAGTGTGAAAAATGTCCGGTCAATCAGTTGAGAAATATGAGAGTGTTCACTCTAGAAGCATCAGTATTGTGGCCATGTTCACGCAGAAGAATGTGAGATACAGAATATCGATGTCTTGAAGACGACGATACAGGTCATATGTATGTGATGAAGTTTAGGGTGCCATTGGGAGTTGGGACCCAAGAATATTTGAGGAAATTACAAATAACTCCCCCATGTTTCTTCTAAATTATAATCTCCTCCCTCCACATTTCAGAAATAATGATAACTTCCCCATTTTGTTTCACACTTTCACGTATAAAAAAAGAAAAGAAAAGAAACTGCAAAAAAAAAAAAACAAGGTTGTTGATAACGATTATAAGTTATAAAATATATTTTAAATTTTAAATATATAAAGAACAATAATTTAAGGATGGAATATAAAAACCAAGTTAAGATTTGGGTTCGGGATGTCTTAGTCATGACATTTCAATCTAGGTTTAATATTGATAAAGTTCAAATTATAAATTTCAAATTCAATTCAACTATAAACGTAAAAGCAATTGTCTAATTGACCGAACACAAAAAATTTTAAATAATCATTTTATTAAAATCTTTAAATAATGTATTTTCGTAGGTGAATCGGAGCAAACTTATCCCGAACTTGAAAATAATCTAATTAGGGCCATGAATGTATACACGTAGTTAAAAAAAATAAAAAATAAAAATTTGGTATGGTCATGTTTTGGTTTGATGCATGGCATGGCTAGTTGACATCTTTATTTCTTTTTGGTCAAACAAACAATAAATAATTTAAACTGTTTAAATTGTCTGGAAACTTACAAATTTTAGATGGGATAAAATTACCATTACTTGGTCATGGTAAAGTAATAAAAAGTAGTTAATAATTATTTTATTTCAACCACTAAAATTTAGTGATTACATTATGGAAAAAAATAATTATTTTTAATTTTGGTCATAATAAAAATTTTCAATTAAGTAATGAGGAAGTGGATGGTGTTCCTACAGCAGACACTAGTTGAGACTTGAGAAGTGAGACCTAACCGAAGTAGAATAAATTGGGCCTATTTATGGGCTTGGCACTCACTGGTATGTATGTTTTATTCACTTTTAAAAACAAATAATTCCTTGATAGGCTTTTCTTCAGCCCATTGGGTTAGCCCAAAAAAGAGACCGGCGAAATCCTAGAACCAAAAATGAAATATGTAGCCCAATTTTTTGTTCCTTGTTTCACTATAGTTATGGTGAAGAGCTAAATTCTCAATTGGTTTGAGTTAAATTTTATTAATTCATGAATGTGTGTATAGAATTCAAATAATGCAAAAGCTTAACTCTCAAGTTGGGGGACAAAAAGAAGGTAAGATGAATTGGCCTACTATATGGAATTCATTTTTTATTTTTTATTTTATTCTTGAAAATGTATTGGAAGTGAAATAGATTAATAGATAGTGGCCATATATGTAACACATGCATCTAATAATGAGTGGGAAAAGGCCAGGGTTTTAAGTGGTTGCTTGAAATTTTTTTATGATGCAGTAAATTATTTTTTTCAGTAGTAACTATCCAACTTTCAAATTTATTTTTTTTCCAATATTTGTGATACTAGAATGCAATCCGTTTAATGTGAAAGTAGTGAATATAATTTATTTGTTTAATGACTAGCCCAATTAAAATAAAATTTGATAAATATCAGGAGGAGTGTAGCTTCTTGTTAGCAATTGCTATCTTCATTGATCCAATATTTAAGCTAGATTTGGTGGAGTACATTATCATTACGATAGGCTTTATGGTGATGATGTATGTAGGCACTAAAATTTTATAGACTTTTGTTTTAATAAATTGACCTATTAAATATGGATTTAATTAAATTATTTAATTGGCTTAAATTTGATCCACTTAAATTATTTTATTAGCCCAGCCTAAATGATTCAATAAAAAGATAATTTTTCCTAATAAAATATATTTGGAATAATTATTTTATAGATAATCATCACAACATAGCTGGCCCGATTCAGTTATGATTTTGTCCTTATCATGAGAGGACACGTGTCATTATCCTATTAATCCAAGAAGTCTATAAATAGAGGCCTGTACGAAGGAGGAATGTGGTCCAGAAATTGAGATAATCGGAAATCCAGAGGAGTCCAGAAATTCAGATATTCAGAAATCCAAAGGGTCAAAAATCCCAAACAGAAATACAGAAACTTTATCAACATTCATTCCAAACACCTAAACCTGAAAGCGAAGAACACCAAGCACATCAAATCGTGCCGTTCTTCATCAAAATTCCATGGTGATCAACAACAAGCACATCCAAAGTCGTGTCGTTCTTTACCAAATTCAACAAATCATCTCTGAAGACGAAGAACAACAAGCACATCCAATCCCAAGTCGTGTCTTTCTTTCTTCGAACACCGAGCACATCAAATCGTGCAGTTCTTCATCAAAATTCCATAGTGATCAATAACAAGCACATTCAAAGTCGTATCGTTCTTTACCAAATTCAACAAATCATCTCTGAAGATGAAGAACAACAAGCACATCCAATCCAAAATCGTGCCTTTCTTTCTTCGAACACCAAGCACATCAAATCGTGCCGTTCTTCATCAAAATTCCATAGTGATCAACAACAAGCACATCCAAAGTCGTGTCGTTCTTTACCAAATTCAACAAATTATCTCTGAAGATGAAAAACAACAAGCACATCCAATCCAAAGTCGTGCCTTTCTTTCTTCGTTATTCAATAAGTTTGACGAATCACCACACAACACTGTCCTAGATCAAGCTTCGTCAGCCCTTGATCAGAAATCATCGGCGATCTTCTTAAACTACAAATACTTGAAGAAGATTGTCAACAACCCGATTCAAGATCAAGCTCCAACAGCCCTCGATCCAACCAACAAAGGAGATCGAATCAGAGGATATGATCTTTCTTTTGTAAAGAATATCTCAGAGGATTATACTCAATTTTTATAAATTAATAAAATTCTATTTACTCCCTATTTTGTTCTTTATTTATAGACTACAAAATTTGTGTGTATAATGTATGTTCAAAGAGCTCACCTGACGCTAATAATTATGTATTAAAAGAAATCACATGTTAATGTTTTGGAGCATTTAGTCCGTGTCTTAAATTTAAGATCGGAAGAAGTTTAGTTCAATTTTTATACTAAATTTGATTTAATCTCGAATCTATTAATATACCGATTCGGTACCGCCAAACATAACAATAGGGTTACTTTAATCTTTTCAATAAATATAAAGTTATTCCTCTCTAGGAGACATCGATTCTACTAGTGGTTATATTAATGAGGCTTATAAATTTAATAAACCGGTTAGATTTGTATAATTTGGTAGATGTCTCAATAAACCAATGAGTTAATTCCTCTCGTAAATTTTTGAGTGTTATGTTGGACTGTTTGCATTTACTAATTTAACTTATAATACTTCTTGTTTTGAAATTTTTTTTTGGCATAATTTACATTACTTTCTTTAATTTAGTAATTGATAAATATATATATATATATATATCAATACTATTATTAAATGTGCAAAGTGTTTCAGTGTTTCATAGTTTTTGTAAAAAAAGTTTCTATAAAATTTTAAAAATTACCTAATAAAATCAATCACATTCTATATAAAACTCTTATTTTTAGTTATGTTTTATGGATAATTATAGTTAACTCTAAAAATTACCTAATAAAATCAATCACATTCTATATAAAACTCTTATTTTTAGTTATTTTTTATAGATAATTATCACAATATAACCGGCCCGGCCCAATTATGATTATGTCATTATCAGAAAATGACACATGTCATCATCCTATTCATCCAAAAAGCCTATAAATAGAGGCATGGAGGAATAAGGAAGGGGTACAGAAATTGAGAATTCTAGAAATCCAGAATTTCAGAGTAAAATACAGAAGCTCTCCAAAGAGTTTCAGTATTTATTTATTTATATAAAAAATATTTATTAATTGAGTTGAATTTCAGAGTAAAATACAAAAGCTCTGTCAAGAGTTTTCAGTATTTATTTATTTATATAAAAAAATATTTATTAATTGATATAAAAAGAGTTTTTATCTATATTATTATTAGATGTGTAAAGAGTTTTATTATTTATTTATATAAAAAAATATTTATTAAATGATATGAAAAGAGTTTTTACTAAAATAAAAAATATATATATCTATAAAACAGTAAAATCTACATAATAAAATTTAAATTATCCTATTTATCTATTTATTATTATCCATTTTTAATAAAAGAAAATCTAATTAGACAAAATTTATTAATATAAAAAATATTTATTAATTGATATATAAAATAAAATAATTTTTATAAAACTCTATCACAAATTAGCTTTTATTATGAGTATCTTAATAAAATTAAAACTAATTAGACAAGTATATAATTAAAGAAAATAAAATAATTTCAATAAAACTTTATTACAAATTACCTATTTTATTATCAATAAAACTCTATCAACAAAGATATATTTAAAGAGTTTGTATAAAACTCTAACACAAATTACCAATTTATCAATTTATCGTGAGTTTTTTAATAAAAGGAAACCTAATTAGACAAGTATTATTAATATAAAAAATTATTTATTAACTGGTACAAAAGGAGGTTTTTAAAGAGTTTTTAAAACACAAATTACCTATTTATCTATCTATTTTGTGTTTTTTTTACTAAAAGTAAATCTAATTAGACAAGAATTATTAAAATAAAAAATATTTATTAATTGATATAAAGAGAGTTTTTATTAAACTCTAACACAAATTACCTATTTATTTATTTATTACAAGTTTTTTAATAAAAGAAAATCTAATTTACCTAATAAAACCAATCACATTTTATATAAAACTCTTATTTTTAGGTTTTTTTTATGGATAATTATAGTTTTTATAAATATCTAAAAATTACCTAATAAAATTAATCATATTCTATATAAAACTCTTATTTTTAATTATTTTTTATGAATAATTATCACAATATAACCGGCTCGGCCCAGTTATGATTATATCATTATCAGAAAAGGACACATGTCATTATCCTATTTATCCAAGAAGCCTATAAATAGAGGCATAGAGGAAGGAGGAAGGGGTACAGAAATTGAGAATTCTAGAAATTTAGAATTCTAGAG